AGGTTCTACCCCCCCCCTGCAACAAAATTCCTGGCTATGCCCATGCTTAACGAACTGCATACAGTTTGCCATTCCACACAACAAGAACTTATTCAAAATTCTACAGTTATTTGCATACGCATAATAATAATAATAATAATAATAATAATAATAATAAATTTTATTTAAACCCCGCCCTCCCCAGCCAGAGCTGGGCTCAGGGCTGCTAACACCAGTAAAATTACAGTAAAATCATAATGGGGGGGACCAATTTAAAATACAGGTTAAAATGCAATTTAAAATGCAGCCTCATTTTAAAAGCAGCCCATAGATCAAAACCATAAGGGGAGGGAAAACATAAGGGTCAGACTGAGTCCAAACCAAAGGCCAGGCGGAACAGCTCTGTCTTGCAGGCCCTGCGGAAAGATGTCAAGTCCTGCAGGGCCCTGGTCTCTTGTGACAGAGCATTCCACCAGGTCGGGGCCAATACTGAAAAGGCCCTGGGCCTTAGTTGAGACCAACCTAACCACCTTGTGACTTGGGACCTCCAAAGTGTTGCCATTTGTGGACCTTAAGGTCCTCCACGGGGCATACCAGGAGATGTGGTCCCATAGATACGTGGGTCCTAGGCTGCATCTTTTAGGTAGAGAGACAGCTGAGATTTTGAAATCTCAGAATGTGAAGATTTGCAGGGGGTGGGGGAATCCCTCTCCAAATCAGACAAACATGACCAACACATGAAGTAAATATAAGCTGCGGCCTTTAAAATCCCCATAGTTATTGGCTGCGAGAGTGCAATACACTTTGTCAACATATACACACGCTGGATAGATATCTGGTTTTAGCTGCTGATGGGTGACGGAATATCCACGAACATTCCAATTGCTCAGGAGTTTTTGTTTATTAAAAAAAATGGAAAGAAAAGAACAAGCTGTTGCAAAATTCCTAGGAGCAGAAGAGCTCGTGGAAGGGTTCAATAAGGAAAGCCGGGGGGGGGGGATAAATATTAGCCAACTGTTAGATTGTGCAAATGAGATTTGTGTGGACATGTAGAACAGCATGTACAAGTTGTATCGGAACAGACCCATTGAAACAGACGAAATTCAGATAGCTGTGCCAACTAATTTTAATGGGTCAACTCTTGAGTATACAATCTGCTGTAGCTCTGGGTGTGTGTTTGTCAGAGAGAAAGAGAGGATGAAGCAGGTTAGATACAGAGAAAGTACTACACATTATCACACAAATGTGTCTGCAGAATGATGTGGGTTTTTACTCTCATCATCTAATTTCAAGCTCCATGCTTTTCAGTGCACCGCAGTCCACGCATTTGCTCACATGTGTGGAGTGACCAAGTTATGTGCGAGTGAATTAACCCTTGTAGAACAAAACTCCGGGGCCCAATGCTACTATCCATCAAGACTTTCTAAATAGAAGGGTTAGAGGAGGAATTTGGTTCAGTGCACATGTGGACGTGGGTGGCGCTGTGGGTTAAACCACAGAGCCTAGGACTTGCCGATCAGAAGGTTGGCGGTTCGAATCCCCACAACGGGGTGAGCTCCCGTTGCTTGGTCCCTGCTACTGCCAACCTAGCAGTTCGAAAGCACCTCAAAGTGCAAGTAGATGAATAGGTACCACTCCGGCGGGAAGGTAAACGGCGTTTCCGTGCGCTGCTCTGGTTCGCCAGAAGCGGCTTGGTCATGCTGGCCACATGACCTGGAAGCTGTACGCTGGCTCCCTTGGCCAGTAAAGCAAGATGAGCGCTGGAACCCCAGAGTTGTCCACGACCGGACCTAATGGTCAGGGGTCCCTTTACTTTTACATTTTTATGTGAAGCGACCTATTTAATGTTTGGAGGCAGTAATGTTCCTGCTGGAAAATGCAAGAGGGCTCTTCTGCTCGGGTCTTCCTTATGGATTCTTCCCAAAGGCATCTGGTTAGCTTCTGGGATGGAGTAATGTTAGACTAGTTGTGCCACTGGCTTGATCCAGCAGTCTCCTCCAGTGTTTCCTGAAATATGCAATATGCAAACCAAAACCATCCTTTGAAATTTGCGCTTCTCTGAATTTTGCGATGCAGTTCTCCAGCTGAATCCTGCCTGAAAAAAACCGTGCAAAATGTGCAAAATTTAAGGGGAAGTCAAAATATCTAATATAATAAAATAAAGCACCTTAGAGACCAACTAAGTTTGTTCTTGGTATAAGCTTTCGTGTGCATGCACACTACTTCAGATACGAGGAAGTGTGTGTCGAAGAGCGTGTGTCAGTGATAGTATGGAACAATGCATTATATTGAAGGAAATCACTTGGAGAAATGTGTGTCCGGCAAAATTGCAAATGCCAAGAGTGTAAATTGAGAGAAACACACACTAAAATGCTTGCAAATTTTCATGAGGATTCTCTTTTAAAATTGCAAACCAACGCTGCAATGTGGAGAACTGAATTTAAGATTAGAACAATGAGAATCTGAGAGAAACCAAAACTGGCAAATTTGTCCATCCGTGCTAAAGACCCAAGCAGTGATTACTGTTATCCATCATGGGTACTCCTTAAATCTGAAACTAACAATCTTGGGTAATCAGCACGTCAAGCCAAGGCCAATTTTGCCTTGACAGACACTTATCTCTCCCTCATCCGTGGCAGGGAACAGGGGCCAAAAGGAACAGGGGAGGGAAAAAGCAAAAAGCAAAAACCTGTTTTAATTCAAAGCAAATCTAGGTGGCAATTTTTCAGAGAAGTGACTGGCGGATGTTTCCTGGTACTGCTTTCTGCGAAGAAAATTAGTAAACTGGCTCCATCCTCTCCTCCAAATTCATATAATTGACTGCTATTCCGAGATAACTTAATAAATCTAAAAGAAAAGAATAGAAGTGTTCATATTTATTGTTTTTATTTATTTAAAAGCAAGTCAATAAAATACATAATATGTTGTGCAGATTCATTAACTTTAGTCCCCGTGTTACATTGTAAACATGTGTAATTATTCCCCCCCTGTTTACCCTTGCTTACAATTTCTTTGTTTTTTATCGGAAGATTATTGTGGATAACAAAGGTACTTTTAATGTCTGTGTTTTCAGTTCATAGGGTCCCATCTACAGGTCTCGCTTCCGTTTTCTGCCTACTCCTCCATTGCTTCCCCATGTCAAATTTTAGATTCTAAACTCCTGGGACAGAGGCCTCTTTTGTTAGATTTTGTACGCACACTGATCCTCTCTTTCCATTGTACACACACCTCAAACACAGTGTCGAGAATTAAGCTTCAAAGGGCCACACTTCACTTCCCTCCACATAGTTTAATACAGGGGTCTGCAACCTTTAAGACAAAAAGAGCCACTTGGACCCGTTTCCGAAGGGAAAAAACCTGGGAGCCGCAAAACTCGTCATTATAAAAATAACTTTTTTGTCACTTTTTTTTATTATTTCTTTGTTTGACCCCTCAGAATTACTCCTCCTCATAGAAATAAACGTTAAATTAACAAGTTACCTTTTTTTGTGTGTGTGTTCTTCACTCCCCTTCAAAACAGTAACCAGCGTACATGCCCCCTTTCAATGCAGTGACCAGCGTACATGCCCCTTACAATGTAGCGGGCGGGCGGGAAGGTGACGTCGGGACGGTGCGTGACTAACGCTCGCACCGCCCCCATGCGACGTCACAGCCAGTACAGCACCCGCCACAGTGGGGGGTGTCGGGGCGCACAATGCGCCTCCTCCCCTCGCTAGTATCCGCCCTGGAGCCGCGGCAAAGGTGTAAAAGAGCCACATGCGACTCCGGAGCCACCGGTTGCAGACCCCTGGTTTAATGTGCCTGATTCTCTGGCAAGACTTGGAGATCCTTGATGTTCGGATCTTGTTTGCTTCCTGTGCGCAGTATCTTTGATTTCAGAAGGTGTTTGTGCATATCTTAATTTCACTTTGAAAACCCTTCCTAGTCAGCTCATCTGGATGCCCCAACTTCTTCACTGTCCACTTTATACATCTGATTAAGTTGGATTAACCAGAAAAAACTCTTCCTACAATAAAATTGTTAACTTGATGATGATGATGGTGATGATGATTTAAATTTGTATACCCACCCTTCATCCGGAGATTACTGGGTGGTTCACCACATAAAAATACAAAACGGTTGTACTTGCTGTGACAGTTACTCCCCTAGATGACGCTGTTGGTGATTTGGCTTCAATAATAATAATAATAATTTATACCCTGGCCCATCTGCAAAGGGGCATGCACAATGATCACGCCATACTAATTAACTAACCACAGTTAAGCTGGGGGAAGTACATAGTCCATGGTTTTAGGGAACAACATCACCAGGCCGACAGGACTTGGGTCCTGCTGTTAGGATCAGGAGCTAGACCTCTCTCCCTGCTGGGTGTTAATCCAGATCTCTCCCCCTCCTGGTTGCTCCTTGGTGTCTTGGGTGTGTCTACACTCCCAAGAGAAAGTAGTTTAACTTCTGTGACTCCCCTGACAGGCACCTGCCTGGTTCTGTTGGCTGTGGCTCAGCGTTGACCCGGCAAGACCTGCTCACTTGTCTAGGGCTCGGGTTGCCAGGTATTTTGAGTGGCACTGCAGAGCATAACAAGATCCGCGCATCTCCTTGCTAGGGAAAGCCTTTACCTGCTAAAATCCTGAATGCCAGTTTTTTTGGAGGGGGGAAGCACCCCACAACAAGGTGACAACCCTGACCTACCAGGGCTGGGTTTTATTTTATTTTATTTTAGCGGCAACCTCAGAAATAGGTGCCGGGGCTAAAAAAACTCTGGGGAGCGGCTGCCCCTAAAGTCCAAGAGAGGGAGATCTCGGGGAGCAACTGGGGCCAGCCCAGGGGAAGGAGGCAAGCCGGCTCCTGACGCTGCTAGGGCGAAGAGGGAGAGTCTCCCTGCCGCCTGCCTCGTCCGCCAGAAGGACCCCTCGCTCAGCTGATAACCTCCGCTCTTTCCCATCGGAGGAGGAGGAGGAGGCAGGCAGAGAACGAGTTAAAGAAAAAACCCTTCTACTTCCGGATGTGTTCATAGCTCAGGGCTGTGAAGCTGAGAGAGAGAGAGGGGGGGAGAGAAAACCAGAGCGCACAAGAGAGAGCATCTTTCTTTCTTTCTCTCTCTCTCTCCCTCCCCTCCTCCTCTTCTTCTTCTTTCCACATATACAGAAAGCAAAACAGCTTCCAAAGGAGCAGAGGCAGGCAACGAAAGGAAACCGCAGGCAACCGATTTGATTGATTATTTTTTAAAAGAGATATATCTATAGATAGATAGATATATAAAAATAGCCATCGTGGGTTTTTTTTAGAATCCAAACTCCCAGCTAGAAGAGAGAGAGAGAGGGAGCCTCGTCAATTTCATCCTCTGGTTTCCCTCCTCGCCAGATCCACTGCTGCTTTAAGAGGAGGGGAAACCGACAAGCCCATATTCTCTCTGTGTGCGTCCCCCCCCCCCCCAATTCCCCGCCCCAGCTCCTCTGTTTGCTGAGCAGAGGGGGCTGGGGTGTGTTGTGGGAGCTGAATCCTCCTTGGTGGAGATGCTGGGTGGGGGGGCTTTTTGGAACCTCTGAGCCCCCCCACACCTCCCTTCTTACACCTACTCTCCTCCTCTTCTTCTTCTTCTCTCTCTCTCTCTCCATCCTCCCCCCCACCCGGTTTTCCTTTTCATTCCTGGCTCCTTGCTTTGATAGGATTGAAGCCACAACCATTTAAAAGGGGAGAGGGAGGAGAAAGGAGCCGGGGGGGGGGAGAGAGAGAGAAGAAGAAGAAGAAGAAGAAGAGAGAGTCGATGTCCATCTTTTAAAAGGAGAGGAGAAGGAGAAGGGGGGAAGAAAAGAAAAGAAAGGGGGGGAGAGAGAAAGGAGTGTTTTGGAAAAGGGGGTGGTGGTGTTTGATCATCACACACACCCCTTCTCTCTCTCTTTCTCTCTCTCTCTCTCCTCCCCCCCTTCCAATTTCAAACTACCACCGGGTTGTTGATATTTTTTTTCCCCTACGAGGACCATCAGTCACTTGAAGTCTGACACCTCGCAGCACTTGATGGGCAGCTACGACAGCCAAAAGGCAGAAGAAAGGGTCTACTTGGGAGGAAGAAGATACCCGTAAGGAAGGAAATAAGGAACTCTAGCCTTTACCCCCCCCACACACACACATGCAAACACATCCACGCAGATCTGTCATCCCGGCAACCTCACTAGCAAGCTGGCTTAGGTTTGTTTTCTATATCTGTACGCGTGTGAGTGTAAAAGGTTAGATTTTTTTCCCCTCTCTCTTTTTTTTGGGGGGGGGCTATTTTTTAAAAAAATATATTATTCTTGCTGCTGAGCGATCCACAGAGAAACCGGCCGTCCCTGAAAGGAAAATAGGTTGTTTCCTAAACCCACCAAAACAAAAACCCCTACCCAAAGGCAAGAAAAGCCAAACTATTTGAAACAGTTTCCATCTCTCACTTGGTTGGTCTTCTTGGAGCGATGGGGTCAGAGAGGGGGCCAAAATGAAAGATCTCCTCTTTGGAAAGGACTGAAGTTTCTCTGGCCCCCCCAGAGCCGCCTCCCCCCAAGGGGGAGAAGCAAGAAGGAAAGAAAGCCCGAGAGAACAAACTTCCCAGCGTCTGATGGCACAAAGGGTAAGTGATGGCGAGGAGGAGGACGGTGATAATAATGTGTTTTTGGGATAGAACTCGGTGTTGTTTGCGAAATCTGTTCTGAAAGATGTCTTATCTTCTGGCCTAGACTCTTAGAAGCACACGACAAAAACTCAACAAGTAAAATAAAAGGGAATGATAGGTCTGCGTGTTTGTGTGTGTGTGTTTTTTTTTATAGATCTATAGTTTTCTTATTGCCTGCTTTTTCGGAAAAGAAAAAATAACTTTGTGGCTTGTGAAGTTAGTAACTCTAGAACTCACAGCGGTAAAGTCAGACAGGGCTTGAACCTGTCTGCTGCCTTTAAAACAGCCTCCATCCCTCCCTCCTTCAACACTTCCCATCTCAACTTCTTATTTGTAAATATTTATCTCTTCCCTCCCTCCGCCCACCCCGGGGTTTGATTGGCAAGTGTCAAATGGGAATTTTTGGATGGGGGAAAAAGAAAAGAGAGAGGAATGCCACTTTGGAAATATATATATTTAAAAACATTTTCATTTCGAGTATATTAGCTGTCACCCCTAGTCGGTATAAATAGAGGCACGCCTCATTCTCGGGTTAACTTTATGGTTTAAGAGACATGGCTTAAAAAACAACAAAATAAACTAAATATTGACCGGTGTTTTGAAGCGTCCCTATAGCAAATTTGAGCAAAATAGATGCATTGGGTATACTTAAGAACAAAACCGAAAAAGCAGCCGGGGACAAAACCTCTCTCAGGCAGAGCAAACTATTTCTTGACTTTCTCAGTCTAGCCTTTTTGCTTTGATTCCACGTTGCTCTTTTGAAAGCCTCAATGGGGCTGCTTTGTGGCATTTTGCGATGCCTTTCTGAAGTTTTTCGACTTCTTTTTTCTCCTCTGACCCCCCTCCGTGGAGCGGCAGAAAAGATCTGGCCGGTCTGAAAGGCTGAGGTTAATGTGTCTTCAATGTGGCCGGTTGTAAGAAATTCAGGAAACTTTTCATGGGACTCTAATTCCCAAACCGCCACCATTTATTTTGTGTGGGTGAACGCTTTGGTACCCACCCCCTCCCCACTATTTTGAAATTCATCCATTGCGTTTGGGGCTGGAGGAACTACAATTCCTTGCAACAGAGACAGAATCAGCTACTTCCTTCTGCAAAAAAGTCTCTCGATTTTTCCCCCCACCCACCCAACTTCTCTATAGCAAGCCAATGCAGCTTCCACCAACATTTTTTAATTCAAGGAGAATCTCTGCCGCTTTATTAAAAAATCCTGTCCATTCTGACTAAGTTTTCAAACTTTAGAAATCAACTGTTTCTCTAGGCAAAAGCGGAAGGGTGTGAGTGTGTTGGAAACCCTTCACATACTTACACCTAGAGAAACTCTGATAAGATAATTCAAAATATGAGTGTGCTCAATAGTTTTGCAACCAGCATTTGTTACCATCACCTACACCGGAACAATTTAAATTACTGTTGTTGCTGTTGTTGTTCATCATTCAAAGGTCCCACGCACAGAGCATATGTGGGGCATTTAAAAGGCATCCGTTCATTTATTTATTTGAAATTGTGTATTTTGCACCCGTTGAAAGAGAGGAGTCTGTGGAGTTTCAAGCGAGGTTTTGCGAAACGAGAGAGAGAGAAATAACGTCAAGCGGCCCATAAGAGCATGAGATACGGCATGATTTAAATAAGAATAGTTGGCAGGGTGAAAAAATTTCACACTTTCTCTTTTTTTGCCCCCTTTCCCCACGAAAGGGGGGCGGGAGATGGGAGAAGAAGAGAATGTTTTTGTTCTATTTAAAAAGAACACTGAAGTTTCGAAAAGTGCCTGGCGGGGTTTAAGGAGTTATAAAGAGTTTGACTGTACTCCCTTTAAGGAGGAAAAATAAAAGCGAGCGAGAGAGAGATTGGGGCAAAAAGATGTAGGTGTTGATTTCTTCTTAAGGGGAACAGCCAGTCGGGAAAAGGATGAAGATGACCTGCGAGTAACGGGACAGTTCATTCAGGAATTAAATCCAAGCTTATTTAAAAGCCCGCTTGCGGGAAGCATGAAAACGAGGCAGATTCCCAGTGTTAAAATGATGATAAAATTAAAAATTCCTTCTTGGACAGTCCAGTCCCAGGACAGGAGTATGACTGTGTGCGTGCGTGAGTTTGATCTCTCCAAAGTTCAGTTAGGAGAAAGGCTTTCTCACTTCTTTTAAAGTTTGCAGAGAAACGATGCAGCCTCCGGTCCACTAGCAAAAACAAATTTGGGGTTTAAGGAAGCTAGATTATTTTTTCTTGTATGTGTGGAAGGTGTTTTGCAGTTTGAGGGTGCATCAAACTGCAAGCGAAATTAGCAGCTTTCCCACCTGATTTGCAAGTAACTTTTTTTTAGGGAGGAGGAGAACTGGTGGGGGTCTTCTTCTAGCTGCTGTGTTTTGTAGGGGGCTGGGGAGGGGGAGAGACTACGGCGCCCAGTACTTGGGAGCGCGACGCTGCGCGCAGGCCTTGGAGACGGAGGCTGGAATTAACAAGGCCGGCTTCGTGAAATTGACGAGCGCTGGCGTGAAATTGACTTAAGTGGCCGAAGGCACAAAAGACGACCCATTTGTGGCGAGAGATGGCGAAAGTTTGGGGGCTGTTGTGAGGGGCGGCTGGGAAGAAATGGCCGGGGGTCTCCTGAGCGGAGGATTAAGGGCAAAGCTGGCCGTTGGTGTATGGACGCTGCTGCTAAACTCAATTTTAATTTTAATTTATTTTGAGGGGGTGCAGAAGAACGGCAAACAAAACTAGCAAATGTTCGACCCAAGTGGAAAACTCGGGGAAGTCGTGACGTCGGTGGGAAAAGATCAAAATGCGGGGAGATTTTAGATAATAACCAAGGCTTGTGTCTGTATATTTGTGCTCCCCCCTCAATACTTCGCCCCAAGTTCCTCTCTGAGATGAAAACCTTCCAAAAATTTGCTTTTTAAAAGTCGGTCATTTAAAAGGCATCTTTCTTTGTATCACACACACAAATGTGACTTTTTAGGCGTGCTTAGATATGGGTTTTCCTGGTGTTTGGCTGTGCAATTTATTCGCCCTTTGGTGATATGAAATTTGCTAAATGCGCCTAGATCGGATGTCTAAACTTTCTCTCTCTCTCTGTCTCTCTTTGCCCCACACCTTGCCCCGTTTTCGCACCTGGGTCTTCTTTACCTCCAGTACGATGACTTGGTACATTACGCCGGAATGGACGGGGTCTCTCTGCCGGGCTTTGGAGACCCACACACGGGCCGGGGTCTGCAACACCACGCTCTGAACCAGGGGGGCCCTTACGGATCCGCCGGAGTGAACCACCGGCCCGGCTTGCCCCCGGGGCTGGGCACCAACGACGCCTTGAAGAGAGAGAAGGATGAGATTTATGGGTGAGTCCGGATCCCGCTCAGTCCCTCGAGAAAGGACGGTGGGAGGGAGGTGGGATGGGTTGGCAGGGGTTCGGATGATGAGCCCAATTCGCCTTGAAAACTTTTGCGCGCAACTCTTTGGCATCGGGGAATCGGCCCCCCTCCTCTTCCCCAAACCCTCTTTGGATAATGGAGAAAGGGAGGAGAAGGGTGGAAACATGAGCGCCTCGATCCGAAGCCTGCCTCCTCGGGAGTAAATGCCTCTGTGCTCTAGGGGGCTTTCCACCCAAGGAAACGGGCCGCAGGAAGACTCAAAACTTATTTTGCAGAGGTTGCACCCCCGCCGCTTGCTCGCTTACATCGGGGTGAACCCGGCGGAGCCTGTTCCTGCTTGCACGGAGGACTTACTCCCGAGGAATCGTGCTGCGCTCACTTGGAAGGAAGCCTCTCTGAAGCCACAGGGGCTGCTTCCCAGTTAGACGTGCAGACGATCCGACCGCAAATCTGATATATTCCAACCGGGATATTTCTCTAAATTCAGCTGGATCTCGCTCTCACACACAAACTCTTAGCGGATCGAAGATGTTCCCTTCCGGTAGATCTGTCCTCAGGCTTCTCCCCCTTCCCCCATGAAAGAGGGTTATTACCGTGTTTGCTTAATTGATCGATTCGGTGGGACGTGGCTTCCCTGCGGGTCTCCCCGTCTTGCTTTTCCCAGGGAGCGTAAATAGTGGGGTCCCCCACCCCACCACCCCCCAGTCTCGCGCACACTTTATCCTTTTTTTGCAGCCGGATCCTCTGCGTGTTTATTCGTTAGTATTTTTCCTATGTGCTCCCGAGTAAGTCTGCCGAGGACCGCTGCCTGAATTAACTGTCCTCTCCCTCTAGGTCGTAATCGGTTTGTTTGGTGACTCCAACCAGACAGACTTTGATTTACAGGGGGCATTTTCTGCCTGGGTTCCGCAGGCTCTTCTTGTTTAGAAATCCGCTCAAAGTGCGTGGGATTTCTAGAACATCTGCGCGCCTCGAGATTTATTTGGGCGTCTGCGGTTTCCAAGACTTCACTTTATCCTCGCGCTTTTCTCCGTGGGGCGAAAAGGATGGGTTGTACTGTATATCTTTCTCTCTCGCGCCCTCCATTCCGCATGTTTCTTCATGCCAAAGAATGACAGGATTCGCGTCTCCTGTAGCTGGCTAGCTAGATTTTCCTTCCTGCTGTGCGTTTACGATTCCCAACCTCAGGTGGGTGTCTCCTCCTTTCCAAAAGGTCCGTTCCTCTTTTGGGCTGCGCGTCTCAGGGTTTCCACAAAAGATGAAATGCTTTCGGGATTTCCGGGCCTCTTTTTTTAGTTTCCACCAATCCTACAGTATAGATCCCCCCCCCCCCGCTTCTGAAAAGCATTTTGTTTCCTGCTAGACTCAGAGGGATAGGGGCGAACCCTCCGACGACCGCAAGAAATAAGAAGCGGGCAAGCGACGGAGGTTTACGCTCTTGAAATCTCAGGCTTTCACTATTATTCTAAGTCCACTGGGTCCAGCTAGCTCGGAAACCTGGCTCTCCGGGGTTTCAGACGGGGTTTCCCCGCAGCCCTACCTGGCGATGCCATGGAGAATCGAACCAGGAACCTTCTTCGATGCGCAACAGATGCGCGTCTACTGAGCCACGGCTAGCTGTGGAAAGCCCGGAGGGCGGCAGGTTGGCAAAAGCGGAGGACGCCGGGGAGGCGGGATAGAAGGGCACAGGGACACCGGGAGCTGCTTTATCCTGAGTCAGGCCCCGTTTGGCGCTGTCTTGCCCGCTCGGGCTGGCAGCGGCAGTGATTCTCAGGGTTTCGGGCAGGGGAGGATTCGAACCCGCACCCCAAGAGGAGATGCCGGGGTGCGTGAAAAGCGGGTGCTTTGCCACTGAGCCTCAGCCTCTCCTTCTCCTTCTCCTCCACATCATCATCATCATCATCATTGCTGCTATTATCATCCTGTGGTTGAGATCCCAGCAGAAAGGGACTCCAAAGTGCGCAGGTCAGCTGAAAGGGTGGTGGAGAGGATTGAAAAAAAATAGAGTGATTGAAAACAAGAGCGCTTACGTGTGAATCAGCCAAGGATCAGACCCTCCCCGGTGTGCCTTGCAGAGGTGGCCCCTCCCGGGTTTGAGAAGAGGCAGCTGACTCAGATTTGGGGCATCAAGGAGTGGCGAGGCGGGGAGGCGGCTGGGGAGAACAGTCCAGTCACTCTTTTCTCTCCCCTCGGCCCCCGCGCAACTCCAGCCTCAGTAAACTCCAGCCTCATCTGTAAAACGGGACCAACAGCGGACTTCTCAGAGCAGGTTTGGGAGGTGTGAGAGGATTTGCGGCAGGAGCTTTTGAGCGGAAGGAGGCGGAATCTTTTTCGGGGTGTGTGTGACGAATTCATGGATCCCGTGTGAACTGGATCCAAAGACGGAGTCGCCAGCCCCGTTATAAATTGTGAGCTTCCCAGAAGCGCAAGGCTGGGCACTCCGGAAAAGGGGACCTTGGGTGTTAAAGGGTCTTTCCGTTTCATCCCACATGATCCTTGTAGAATCCCCACAAGGGGTTCCTACAGACCACCACCCCAGTTGAAAAAGGCATTTATTAATACGGGCATTAAAATTATTTTTCACTGCGGGTTGTGTGTGTGTGTGTGTGCATGCAGCGTTTTACAAAGTGCCATTTGTTGCTCTTTGCGCTGGATCGGTCCCAGCGAACAGGTGGGGATGTCCAGCTCGGGCTTTGTGCTGCAGTTTTTTCCATCGCAGAGGTGAAAATGTGTGTGTGTAGGTGCACGCATGATTTTGTGAGTGGGCATGGATGTGGCACACCCAGATCCACACCCTCATGAATTTGGATTTATTTGAGCACCCAAGAAGGAAAAATCCAAATGACAGTTTAAAAAAGTTTAGTAGGCGTTTTCGGCTTTTTTCCTTGTTACATTTTTTGAAGTGAGTTGACTCAAAACCTGATTTTGGGGTGTGCTTCATGGAGCACTTTGCCTGAGAGTAGAGCTAGTTTGGCAATAGAACACAAATCCTTCTAAATCGGACAAAAAGTCCGCTTTGCCCAGTGTCCTGTTTCCGACAGTGGCAGGTCTAGTTCAGTGGCGTTCGGCTGGTTGTTCAGGGCTCACTATTTGGTCAAGGCCTGGTCATTTATTTATTTATTTACATTTATGACAAATAAACATTTCAAACAGAATCATCTTTACATATCATATTTTGACCCCCCCCCTTTCTGCGGTTCTTTATATTTACTCTATTTTCCTGCGTATCCCAATCTAAATCTATTTTATATTTCATTTCCATCCATTTCATATATGTTTTCACTGCTGAACTGGTCAAGGCCTGATCTAAGATGTGTTGCAACAGCAGCACTGCTAATAATAATAATAATAATAATAATAATAATAGAGAAATGGGTCCCCAAATGTATGCTTGGCTTAAGGTGGTTACCCAGGTCTGAAAACCTTTAAGACCTGCAAGCAGGCCATGAAATTAATTGTCTTCCCCAGTTGTCTGTTTGCCAGCAGTGTTTTCTGGGATACACTGCCACTGAAGAAGGAAGCTCCATTAACCTCTGGCTTTTTGCTGGTTGCTTCCTCTTGGGTTATCAGGCTATGTCCCACAAGCAGCTTAAAAGTAAAGGTAAAGGGACCCCTGACAATTAGGTCCAGTCATGGCCAACTCTGGGGTTGCGGCGTTCATCTCGCTTTATTGGCCGAGGGAGCCGGCGTACAGCTTCCGGGTCGTGGCCAGCATGACTAAACCGCTTCTGGTGAACCAGAGCAGCACACGGAAACGCCGTTTACCTTCCCACCGCAGCGGTACCTATTTATCTCCTTGCACTTTGACGTGCTTTCGAACTGCTAGGTTGGCAGGAGCTGGGACCGAGCAATGGGAGCTCACCCCGTCATGGGGATTCGAACCGCTGACCTTCTGATCGGCAAGTCCTAGGCTCTGTTGTTTAACCCACAGCGCCACCCGTGTCCCGCACAAGCAGCTTGGGTGACCATAAACCACTTTTCCAGGTTGTCAGTGCAACCATCATGGCCACCCCATAGAGACAGGCTGAGGTAGATGCTTCAGTGTGCTTCCCAGTTTCCCATGCACAGTGGCCATGTGGGAGAAGCCACTTTGGTTAGCTTTTCCCACACCACCACAAACGCCCTGCCTCCAGCTCATGCAGGAAACACTGAACATGCTCCCTGTGTGATTGGCAGAGCACACCCCAGTGATATCAGGTCCCTGTGATATTGCAGAGGTGCCTATATATTTGGATTGCGAACAGGGTCCTTGTAAGAACATAAGAATATCAGATCAGCTTGCTGGATGAGGCCAATGGCTCATCTAGTCCAGTATCCTGTTGCACAGTGGCCAGATTCTTTTGGGAAGCTGGCATGATGGTTGTGAACGCAACTTCAGAGCCCATATCAACATTGCTGGCCCGAGGAGCCGCTTAGATGGGTTGGGTAGCTAGATAAGCCTTCTCCAAGTACCGTATTTTCAGACCATAAGACACACCTAGTTTTTGGAGGAGGAAAACAAGAAAAAAAATATTCTGAAACCCAGAAGCCAGAACAGCAAGAAGGATCGCTGCGCAGTGAAAGCAGCAATCCCTCTTGCTGTTCTGGCTTCTGGGATAGCTGCGCAGCCTGCATTCGCTCCATAAGATGCACACACATTTCCCCTTACTTTTTAGGAGGGAAAAAGTGAGTCTTATAGAGAAACAAATACGGTACTTTTTTATGCCAGCTTCCAGTTGCAAAGGTGTTCTTTCTGCTCCTCATTGTGAGCTACAGACTTAATCGTTGCTCATCTGGAATCTCTCTTCCATAGGCTCTTCTGTGAGTAAAAAGAGTGGATCAGCCTTGTCCAAGCTGGAGCCCTTCAGATGTTTTAGACTCCCAGTCCAGAACATCTGGAGGACTCCAGCTTGGATGTATTGTCCCATGCTTTGATCACTTGGGATTGGGAGGGAGGAGGCAAATCTCAAATGAGTGTCCCAAGAGAGAAAACTGGAAGAAGCTAGATGACGGTGGGAAGGTGCAGTCTGTTTCCGAACCTGGGGACAAGATGGAGCTGCAAGGTGGCGATTTGTGAGATAGTGTTGAGTGTTTTCCTCCCATGGTGGAAGTCTGTACAGTTCTCAGGTGACCTAGGTGTTGACCAGACATTGGCCTGCTTAAGCTCCAGCAAGGTTGTGGCATCACGTGGCTTTGGACTGTGCCCTAGGGACCTCACCTGCCTTGTTGTTGTTGTTGTTTAGTTGTGCCCGACTCTTCGTGACCCCATGGACCAGAGCACGCCAGGCACTCCTGTCTTCCACTGTCTCCCACAGTTTGGTCAAACTCATGCTGGTAGCTTCAAGAACACTGTCCCACCATCTCGTCCTCTGTCGTCCCCTTCTCCTTGTGCCCTCCATCTTTCCCAACATCAGGGTCTTTTCCAGGGAGTCTTCTCTTCTCATGAGGTGGGCAAAGTCTTGGAGCCTCAGCTTCAGGATCTGTCCTTCCAGTGAGCACTCAGGGCTGATTTCCTTCAGAATGGAGAGGTTTGATCTTCTTGCAGTCCATGGGACTCTCAAGAGTCTCCTCCAGCACCATAATTCAAAGGCATCAATTCTTTGGCGATAAGCCTGCTTCATGGTCCAGCTCTCACTTCCATACATCACTACTGGGAAAACCATAGCTTTAACTATACGGACCTTTGTTGGCAAGATGATGTCTCTGCCTTACTTGGAAGCAAATCCCATTTGCTTCCATGGGTGGCATCTCATGCTAGTCCCACTCACAGCAGACTTGTTGAAACTAAGTTTGGTCCATTGGTTTCAATGGGACTTCGTAAGACTCAGTTGCAGACAAACCAGTGCCACTTAACTTCCATACAATGGACACAATCCATCAAAATGTGCAGTGCAATCAACGTCCAGCTCATTTCAGTGGAACGCACTTCCCAGTTCCAGTGTGTAGGGCTTAGGAAGCTGCCTTCTATTGGGTAAGACCACTGGCCTGTCTCACCTGGTATTGTCTTCACGGATTGGCAGCTGCTCTCCGGGTCTGGGGTTTCAGGCAGAGATCCCTCCTAGCCTTACCTGGAGATTCGTCCTGAGATCAAATCTGGAACTTTCTGCATGGAAGGCAAATGCTGTTCCACTGGGTTGCAACCCTAAACCACGACTTCAGCTTTAGTTGTGACTAATGGCAATGACAGCATCCTCAGTACATTTACTCAGAAGTAAGTCTTGAAGAGTTCTATGGGGCTTGAGTAAATCCCCCGTCAACGTGGGTTAGGACCAGGACTTCTTTAAAAGGCACAGGACTGAACTTGGTGGTGACTCATTAATGAACAATTGTTTTGCTCACACCACACAGATGTAAATTTGGGGTTTGCTACCAAATGTAAGGGGACGCGGGTGGCGCTGCGGGTTAAACCACAGAGCCTAGGACTTGCTGATCAGAAGGTTGGCAGTTCGAATCTCCACGACAGGGTGAGCTCCCGTTGCTCGGTCCCTGCTCCTGCCAACCTAGCAGTTCGAAAGCATGTCAAAGTGCAAGTAGATAAATAGGTACCACTCTGGTGGGAAGGTAAACGGCTTTTCCGTGCGCTGTTCTGGTTCTTCAGAAGCGGCTTAGTCATGCTGGCCACATGACCCGGAAGCTGTACACCGGCTCCCTCAGCCAATAAAGCGAGATGAGAACCGCAACCCCAGAGTCAGCCACGACTGGACCTAATGGTCAGGGGTCCCTTTACCTTTACCTTTTACCAAATGTAAGTAGTAAATAAATTTTTATTTATACCCCGCCCTCCCTGGCCAAGACCTAACATCAAATATCAAATACATTAAAACACAATTGAACAATTGATTAAAATACAGCTTAAAAATTAGAATCAGGGTAAAATTAAACGATTGCCCACGAATTACAACCATAGGGTTCGGGAACCTCAAATATTCACTAGGGCCAGCTATCCATGTTGGTCCCACATGAGCCAGTAAAACGGCCAAAGAGGTAACTTACAGGGTCCCATAGATCGGGGGGGTCAAACTGGGCCCGGACCGAAGGCCAGGAGGAACAGCTCTGTCTTGCAGGCCCTGCGGAAAGATGTTAAGTCCCGCAGGGCCCTGGTCTCCTGCGATAGAGTGTTCCTCCAGGCTGGGGCCAAAGCCATTGCAGATCTGCAGCCAATCCCAGCTCCCTGTATAGGGCATAACTTTATTGTAAACACACTGCACTTTTTAAAAAAAGTTTGTGCTTAAAATACAACACACAACGTCGTCCATAGAGCATTCTCGTCCCATGCATGTTTATATAGATGTAAGTCCCACTGATTTCGATGGGACCTTGTCTGGGTTTAGGATTTGGGGTGGGGGGAGTGTTAGAAGATTTCTTCTCATGACCAAATTTCTCACAGCTAACATCTTTGCCCCTGTGGGGAGACTTATGGGCCGGCGTATCAGGGCTGTGTCTTCTCACTCCCACACCCCAGCCAATTGACAGCTCTGTCATTAGGAGGAGAAAGGTGTATGTTTGTTTTTGAGGGGGAAAGCCTGGTGTGGAAGAGAAGAATTACCCCTTTCTAAACCCCCCTCCCTTTGCCCATCGAAAGAAAAGCAATTCAGATCCCCCCACCCTCTTCAGCTTCTCAGCAACCCGATTATTGGGAAATGTAATATTTCTGCATGGTTGGGTTTTTTTTATATAGAGCGAATGGTTAAATATTTGCTGTGTTGAATAATTATATAAATATCTCTTTTCAAGTGTAAAGAAAATTACATTTTAAGAAGACAAGCTTAAGGGGAAGGACACTGAGAACCGAATTCTTGCACTTTTGTATGGAAAGCTCAGATCGATCCACACAACCCCAAATAAAACCAGTGTTTCTCTTCCTGTTGTTGTTTAGTCGTTTAGTCGTGTCCGCCTCTTCGTGACCCCCTGGACCAGAGCACGCCAGGCACTCCTGTCTTCCACTGCCTCCCGCAGTTTGGTCAAACTCATGCTGGTAGCTTCGAGAACACTGTCCAACCATCTCGTCCTCTGTCGTCCCCTTCTCCTTGTGCCCTCCATCTTTCCCAACATCAGGGTCTTTTCCAGGGAGTCTTCTCTTCTCATGAGGTGGCCAAAGTCTTGGAGCCTCAGCTTCAGGATCTGTCCTTCCAGTGAGCACTCAGGGCTGATTTCCTTAAGAATGTAGAGGTTTGATCTTCTTGCAGTCCATGGGACTCTCAAGAGTCTCCTCCAGCACCAGAATTCAAAACTAATAATTCAAAATTCTCTTCCTAGCTGTGGGTTATCAGCCAGAGTATTTGGGAATCGGATTCTGAAGACGGCACAATAACATCAGAAGAACCTTGTAGGCCTGAGGTCTGGCTAGGCCAGCATCCTGTTCACATGGGGGGCAACCAGATGTCCCAACGGGAAGCCCCACAATCTGAACACAAAAGCTCTCCCAGCACTTGTGATCCCTAGCGACTGGTCCTCATTTTCACGAAAAAGGCTAAGGGCCCTTTGACGTGTGTTCTGCTCCCTCGCCGGTTCCAGCCCAGTACAGAAATCACTGTAGAATCTGGTTCCTAAATCAAAAGTGCTCTGCCCCTCCCCAGCAAGGTTGGGAAATGCAGAAACTGGTTTATAAAAGCATCACTGGGGGTGGAGTGGAGGGAGCAACTGCCCTAAGAGGAACGTGATGGATTTCCCTTCCTTTCGTCTTCGACTTGCGCTATGCGGTTTGAAACTTTCCAGCCGTCGTAGAGCAAGTCTATTTTTTTTCCACCCTACGAGACATAAAAGTTATTTGCCCCCCTCCCGCCACCATGCCCAGCCCTGCAACACCCTACCCCCAGATCCCTACTTACAGCTGGCAATGGTTTTAATTTGCAATTTTTTCTCCCCCTCTTGGAATTTGCAGCGGGGCAGAGAGGGAGAGAGGAGATGAAATGTTGCAGGATTTTGCCTCCCCATCTTTCTTGGGGGGTAGCGGGGGATTTGTTTTGCTTTGCGTACGAGATCTAAAAGTTCCGTGGAGACGCTCACTTAACAGCTACACCGTGCTGGGCCTCAGCTACAAATATTTGTGTAACATATGGTGCGTGAACTTGTATAATGTATGGCTGGGAACACTCTGTCTTGCTAGCTATCCGTCCAAATCTAGGGGGGAAATGTGTGTGCTGGGGGGGGGGGGAAGCAGCCGAAGGATGGCCTTTACTGGTTTGCAGTTGACATTGCTCACAAGACATAAATCACAGAACAGGATGGAAGTGAGCTCCCCTCTGAACCCCCAAATGAGCTCTTTGAAATAACTGTGATCCTAGCAGAAACGGTTTCTTAGAGCCACATACTGCCTCCCCCCTCCTTTGAACGACTTCTCTCTCGTTTTTTCAGAATTTGCTCTTCTTCTAGAACATTACTTGGCACGTAGACCAAGCTTCCAAACTGCAATTTTTGCATGGATTTTAAGTATTGTGGAATTGGGTTTTGTTTTTTGCACACACACACACACACACACACACACACACACACACGCGCGCGCGGCCCTTGCTGTTTTTATTCACTGGGCGGGGAGTTCCCTTCACACATGCAGGTTGATATCTTGTCGATGCCACACTGTGGTGACTTTGAGGTGTGAACATGTTGTGTCATACGCCGCATCCCAGACAGGACTTCTGCAGCCTTCACACTGCTTGACACACACACACACACACACACACACACACACACACACTGTTTGATGGAGTCTGTCAGTTTACAAACTCGGCTTACAGGTCTCCAGCGCTGGTGGGCCAAGGCAGGGTCAGGGGATGTAAGAGACGACAAACAGATGCATAATATGGGCAGACACAATTCGTGATTATCGTTTTCTGGGTTCCCATGTGTCTTCTACTGAACAAGAGCCTGCCTATAGAGCCTCTCACAGCCAAGGCTGGGTCCTGGGGCCCATATGTGAAGTTGAGATGGGGGAAAAGTGGGTCTCAGGGCATATGAAGATGACTTTTTATTTTTTATTGTTTCCAACCGTCTCTCCAATAATTTTTGGTTTCAACAGGCTTTCCCGAATGGGCAAATGGGTCTTTACCACAAATGTCCACTTGTTAAGATTTTAGTCTTGCGTTAAATATATGGGCAGAGTGTAAAAAATAAAATTGTTGCTGTTATTATTGTTGTTTTTCTGTTTTTGTCTTATATGCCTGGAGATGGTGGTTTAGAAGGCAGTTAATAAATCAGTGATGATGGCATTAAGAGAGCAGCAATATGGGTTTTCAGGTTATGGGTTGTATCCAATGTCAAGTCTTATTCAGAATAATCCACTGAAATTGGGCAGCATGACTAAGGCCCATTATTTTCAATAAATCTACTCTGAGTAGACCTTGGGTGGAGACAACCCTATGACCCCCAGGCAGCATTCCCACCGCTGCCTGGCTGAGGAAAGTAAATAATGAGAACCAATGCAACTCCCCCCCCCCCAATTTTCCATGAATTTTAATGTACAGTAATTTGTTTTTTCCTTTCAAATGGTCTCTAACACCAAGGGCCCTTTTGCCTTACTTTATGCTGGCAGCGTGGCTAGTCAGGAAATGAGGGGAAAGCACGAGGCTCTGTAAGAAGAGCTTATACTCTGAGCCTCCGACTCCTTTCCAAACCTGCTGTGTCCCAGTTTCTGTTCCGAGCTGAAACGTTGGCTGGTCTCTTTGGATCTCCCACTCTGCTAGGCCCTAAACATCTCCTCTTGTGTAACAGGCATCCCTTATTCCCGCTGCTGGCCCTGGTCTTTGAAAAATGTGAGCTGGCAACCTGTTCTCCCAGGGACACTTCTGGCTCCTACCCGGGAGGAGACGTCTGCTCGTCGGATTCCTTCAACGAAGACATTGCCGTCTTTGCCAAACAGGTTGGTTTCTGGAGAACGAGAGGTGATGGAGGGAGGGCAGAGCTGGGGAGTGCTTGGCAGTAGGAACGTGCAAATAACTCTTCTCTAAGTTGTTGTTTAGTCGTGTCCGACTCTTCGTGACCCCATGGACCAGAGCACGCCAGGCACTCCCATCTTCCACTGCCTCCCGCAGTTTGGTCAAACTCATGCTGGTAGCTTCGAGAACACTGTCCAACCATCTCGTCCTCTGTCGTCCCCTTCTCCTTGTGCCTTCCATCTTTCCCAAAATCAGAGTCTTTTCCAGGGAGTCTTCTCTTCTCCTGAGGTGGCCAAAGTATTGGAGCCTCAGCTTCAGGATCTGTCCTTCCAGTGAGCACTCAGGGCTGATTTCCTTCAGAATGGATAGGTTTGATCTTCTTGCAGTCCATGGGACTCTCAAGAGTCTCCTCCAGCACCATAATTCAAAAGCATCCATTCTTTGGTGATCAGCCTTCTTTATGGTCCAGCTCTCACTTCCATACATCACTACTGGGAAAACATAGCTTTAACTATACGGACCTTTATTGGCAAGGTGATGTCTCCACTTTTTAAGATGCTGTCTAGGTTTGTCATTGCTTTTCTCCCAAGAAGCAAGCGTCTTTTAATTTCGTGACTGCTGTCACCATCTGCAGTGCTCTCTAAGTTACCGCTCCTTAAAAATGTTCCTTAGCCAAATTGCCTACTTGTATGTATTTGTAAGGGACGCGGGTGGCGCTGTGGGTTAAACCACAGAGCCTAGGACTTGCCGATCAGAAGGTCGGCGGTTTGAATCCCCGTGATGGGGTGAGCTCCCGTTGTTCGGTCCCTGCTCCTGCCAACGTAGCAGTTTGAATGCACGTCAAAGTGCAAGCAGATAACTAGGTACCACTCCGGTGGGAAGGTAAACGGTGTTTCCGTGTGCTGCTCTGGTTCGCCAGAAGCGGCTTAGTCATGCTGGCCACATGACCCGGAAGCTGTACACCGGCTCCCTCAGCCAATAAAGCGAGATGAGCGCCGCAACCCCAGAGTCGGCCACTACTGGACCTAATGGTCAGGGGTCCCTTTACCTTTACTCTGTATTTGTAGTCCTTTTTTAAAATAATAATAATAATTCAGAGCCACGTTCTAGAAAAAGATTCCTGACTTGGTTGTCCAAAGGCAGCTCTTAACTCACCAGAGGCAGTGGAGAGTCCTGTGGCTCCTTCAAAATGACTTATTTATCAAGGCAAAATTTCGAGACTTCATGCATCCAACAAACTGGATTCTGGCCTGTGAAAGCTCAGGCCGCCATAAATTGGTTAGCCATTTCTTATTTTCATTTCATTTAACAAAGAGTTATATACTGTACTTGGCTCAAAGCTGTTTGCCCGAAATGGTGTAAAATGTTCGTTAAGAAAAACAAGCTTTTAAAACAGGAAGCAGGATAAAATGACCAAATTGCAGAGAAAACCAACGGTTTAAAAAAAATAAATATGCATAATAAAATCACATGTCTGGGTAGACTTGCCTAAACAAGGAGGAGGTTTTCATTTTTAGCAGGCCAGCATGGCCAGTGGTCAAGTTTGATGAGAGTTGTAATCCAACTGCTAGTGGCTTAAGGTAAGAAGTGATTTTCATTAGGACCAGGATGCAGGAGAAAAGGGTTACACCCACCCACACCCATGTGACTGTCCTGGTGGGGTTTCCTTGCCTACTGTTTCTCACTGAAAAGCAATTGCCCATGCATAGCGCCATACATGTAGTCTGGCCTTAAAAAAAATCCTCTGTATTCTTTTAATTGTATGGAAATTAGGGACATTTATATTCTTTTAATCCCACATTTTTATCGTCCTACTGCCTTTATATCTTTTCTGTTCTGGCAACCGGGGTGAAGCTCTGGCAAAGCGTGTAGCAGCGTTGGTAGGTTCCCGCAAGGTTTTGAGACGGGGACCTCTTCGATTAAAAGTCCACCGTTGGGATGATTGCTCAGTTAACCAATATGATGAATCAATGGAGGTCAATTTCCCCCTCATTTCGTTGGAAGGCGAACTCAAAGCCAAGATGGATCAAATGAATAGCCTAGAATGGAACAACAAAAGTGTGTGTTTTTTGGGGGGTTGGGGAAAAGCAGGTTGTAAAGTCTGTAACGAGGTCTCTACACTTTAAAAGAAAAAGCTCTCTCAGGAGCAGAGAATACAGAGTGGAGAAACAGCTTGGGGAGGAGGAAAGAGGAGTCTAACCCCTTTCTTCCTTTATTGCAATTAAAAAGGTAAAGGGACCCCTGGCCATTAGGTCCAGTCGGGGCCGACTCTGGGGTTGCGGCGCTCATCTCGCTTTACTGGCCGAGGGAGCCGGCAAACAGATTCCAGGTCATGTGGCCAGCATGAATAAGCCGCTTCTGGCAATCCAGAGCAGCGCACGGAAACACCGTTTACCTTCCCGCCGGAGCGGTACCTATTTATCTACTTGCACGTTGGCTTGCTTTTGAACTGCTAGGTTGGCAGGAGCAGGGACCAAGCAACGGGAGCTCACCCCATCGCGGGGATTTGAACCACCAACCTTCTGATCGGCAAATCCTAGGCTCTGTGCTCTGCTCCAAATCCCTGCCCCTAAGCAGCTCCTGTCCTTCTGGGTTCAAACATTCATGTTTGAAATTCTTGCTGCTTACGGACATCCTTTACACTGAGCATTTGTTCTAATAGGTTTGTGGGGAACTTAAGCAACGTTGCGTTCAGGGACGGATTTAGGCTTGATGAGGCCCTAAGCTACTGAAGGTAACGGGGCCCTTTATATGTCCAGCTGTCCTTTGTCAACAACAAATTGTCGCTGCTTTTTTATGTTGAATATATGGTAATTTATAGACCTAAAGCCATTTGCACATAACAAAATATGTATTTCATCAAAAGTTATTGTTGAACTGAAATACAATGAAGAAGAAGTATATTAATAGTGAACTACAATTAAGAAGAAATATATTAATAGTGAAATAATTATTAAGCTCTAACTTAAAATGATTGGGGCCCCATTACTTACATCATAAAGGTAAAGGGTAAAGGGACCCCTGACCATTAGGTCCAGTTGTGACCGACTCTGGGGTTGCAGTGCTCATCTCGCTTTATTGGCCGAGGGAGCCGGCGTAAAGCTTCCAGGTCATGTGGCCAGCATGACTAAGCCACTTCTGGCGAACCAGACCAGCACCCGGAAACGCTGTTTACCTTCCAGCCGGAGCGGTACCTGTTTATCTGCTTGCACTTTGATGTGCTTTCGAACTGCTAGGTTGGCTGGAGCAGGGACCGAGCAACAGGAGCTCACCCCGTCACGGGGATTCAAACCACTGACCATCTGATCAGCAAGTCCTAGGCTCTGTGGTTTAACCCACAGCGCCACCCGCGTCCCTCTACTTACATCATAGGAGCCTACAAAACACAAAATACTGTTGCTGTATGTAGGTTTTATTTTATTTTTATCTTATATTTTGGAAATGTACATCCAGTTTTTTTTCCTTTAATTTTTTTGGGGCCCCCCAAGAGAGTGGGGCCCTAAACTATAGCTTGCTTAGCTTATACGTAAATCCGGCACTGGTTGCGTCCAGCACGTGTTATCCCACCCTTTCCAGTACATCTCCCTGCCAAGGGTGCGTCTGTAGTGTTGCTTTCACTATAGGTCTGCTTCCACTACATGGTGGCAAGTTCCGGAGGCACAATCAGAGCTGATTTGGCACCCTTGATTTGGCACAAACCCACTTGCCCCCCTCCCAAATCAGACTTTCTAGCGCAAGGAATAAGCTCAGGCAGTGAGCACTGGAAACGGTGGGATTCAAGTTGCAAGAAAAGGAGATTCCGGCTCAACATCAGGAAGTACCATATTTTTTGCTCTATAAGCCTCACTTTGTCCCTCCTAAAAAGTAAGGGGAAATGTGTGTGCGTCTTATGGAGGGAATGCAGGCTGCACAGCTATCCCAGAAGCCAGAACAGGAAGAGGGATTGCTGCGCAGTGATCCCTCTTGCTGCTCTGGCTTCTGGGATTCAGAATATTTTTTTTCTTGTTTTCCTCCTCCAAAAACTAAGTGCGTCTTGTGGTCTGGTGTGTCTTATAGAGCGAAAAATACGGTACTTTCTGACTGTAAGAGCTGTTTGACCAAGGAATGGAAGGTAGTTGACTCTCCTTCCTTGGAAATTTTTAAGCAGAGGTTGGAGGGCCATCTGTCAAGAATGCTATGGTTGAGCTTTCATTGAAGGGGTTTGGACTAGATGATTCTCTGGTCCCTTCCAACTCTATTATTCTATGTTAATGTCACCTAACCTCCCCTGGAAGCAAATAAGAATGAATGCTTGATAAACAGGTTGTCCAGAAGCTCTTAAAACCAAGCGAGTTTGTCGCATGAGTGGTCCTCATGAACTTTAGCTGTGTGACCTGAGTTTTATGATGTGAAGAAGAAGAAGAAGAAGAAGAAGAAGAAGAAGAAGAAGAGTTTGGATTTGATATCCCACTTTATCACTACCCTAGCGAGTCTCAAAGCGGCTAACAATCTCCTTTCCCCTTCCTCCCCCACAACAAACACTCTGTGGGGTGAGTGGGGCTGAGAGACTTCAGAGAAGTGTGACTAGCCCAAGGTCACCCAGCAGCTGCATGTGGAGGAGCGGGGAAGCGAACCCGGTTCCCCAGATTACGAGTCCACCGCTCTTAACCACTACACCACACTGGCTCTCTTAAGCAGCATAGAGAGCCAGTTGAAGTAAAATAAACTGTGCAACCTGAATTTGCCACGGCGTGATGGAATCCCAGTCTGGCCGTGCCCCCAATGGGGAGAAAAGTCTTTGGGGATATTGGGGTGTGGGGGGCGGGCGGTGCAGGCAAGCAAACTGATGCAGAGAAATGGTGAGCCGAGAAATGGTTAAAAAACTGGTTTTTCTCAGTTCTAAACCCCCCCTTTCTTCTTTTTTTAAAAGGCATAAGGCTTATATGGGTTAGCAATGTGCTGTTTGTCCTTGAGACGCAGCTGGGAATTAGGAAATTCCTTTTACTGGGATTTAGCTCCCCCCCCCCCCCCGCCCTTGTATCTTTTCAGCCAGTTGCCAGAACAACAAAAGGGGAAATGGAGGAGTCCTCCTCACTTGCCGTCATAAAATAAAATAAAATAAAATAATAAAACGGTACTCCCAAGGTCAGCCTTTGCCAAGCTAGTGCCCTCCAGATGTCTGGGAATGACTGGGTCGGATGGGATTTGTAGTCCAAGCACATCTGGAAGGCACTAGCAAGGCAAACTTCGCCTTAGGTGAGTAAACAACTTTTGCTCCAACCCCCAGACCTGCCCAAACTGAGCTTCACACACACAAACACACACACACACACACACACACACATACACACACCCCTTTGCAGCTGCCTCTGGATCTCCTCTTAAAGGTCCCACCCGGGTACCAGAATTTTTGATTCTCCAAGTTGGCGGAGCCCTGTCCCAGAACAGAGAGGATGAGGCCAGACGCCTGGGTCTGTTTAGTGCCTTGAAATTACCGTATTTTTCGCTCTATAACATGCACACGACCATAACACGCACGTAGTTTTTAGAGGAGGAAAATCCGTAGGCATGCCACCCGTAGGCATTCCCTCCATAACACGCACAGACATTTCCCCTTACTTTCTAGGAGGAAAAAAGTGAGTGTTATGGTACAAAAAATACGGTATTTACTGCCGCGATTTCTCTCTCGTTTCTTAAATGAGACATGTGGAGGGGGGAAACTACACTTTTGCATTTTGATACAGGGAGGGGAAATGTTGAGGAATTTTAAAAGCACAGGGGGCTCCTGGGGTGGTGGGGGGGTGGAGAGAGGGAGGTTGCAAACTCTTGAAAGTGAAATATATGTTCTCCTGCCAGCTGCTGCTCTCGGGGGACGAGAGTCACATTTTTTTGCCGTTTCTTTACAGTTTCTGGGAAATGAGAGAAACAGATTTTTCAGTGATGCGCATCAATTCCTTACATTTCTCTCTATCATGTTTTCTCCTCCTGTACTAACGCTCCTTCTGTTTTCTTCTCTCCCCCCCCCTTCCCATCCCGAAATGCCCATTTTTTAGGTTAGGACAGAAAAACCTTTATTTTCTTCCAATCCTGAGCTGGATAACTTGGTAAGGACGCTTCTTTCTTTTCTCGTTTTAAGTTTTTAAACTGCATTTCCCCTGTCTGTCCGTCTGCCAGCCTTGCCTACTCCGCATAGGAGCAACGAGGTATTTTCTCACATTCACTTTTAGTAATCACTTCTCCACACACACTTCCATTCAGAGAAAGTGTAGTGTAGTGGCTAGAGTATTGGTCCACGATCCGGGAGACCATGGTTCAAGGCCTCACTTGTCCATGAAGGTCTTTGGGTGAATCATGGCTCCTCAGCCTTATCCTACTTCACCAGATTGTTGTGGGGATTAAACGAGGAGGGGAAGAAGCAGGTACGCCCCCTCAAGTGCCTTGGAGGAAAAGCTGTTATGTAAAGCCGATGAATCAATTAACATGTGTGCACCATCCAGATGTTGTTGCACTCCAGCTCCCAGCAGCCTCACCCACCCATAGCTGTCAACGTTTCCCTTTTTTTTAAGGGAAATTCCCTTACAGTGGTACCTCAGGTTAAGTACTTAATTCGTTCCGGAGGTCTGTACTTAACCTGAAACTGTTCTTAACCTGAAGCACCACTTTAGCTAATGGGGCCTCCTGCTGCTGCCACGCTGCCGGAGCACGATTTCTGTTCTCATCCTGAAGCAAAGTTCTTAACCTGAAGCACTATGTCTGGGTTAGCGGAGTCTGTAACCTGAAGCGTATGTAACCTGAAGTGTATGTAACCTGAGGTACCACTGTATTCCGAATAGGATTCCTTGCAAGAAAAGGGAAAAGTTGACAGCTGTGCACCAACCATGGTCAGGGATGATGGGAGTTGTAGTCCCGCAACACATGAAGGATGATGGGAGTACACACGAAGGGCGTCCGCCCATCTTAGACACGCACCATCATTCCTTCACAACTTTACGCAAGTGGGACGCAAATCTGGATTCTGAATAACTGGCCTGCCAATGATTCCACCAGTGACCCTCACTGCCTGCTAGCCAACTGGACACAACTTGGGTCCTTCCCGTTGAGGGTGATGCAGAGGCCAGCGGCTTAGCAAAGCCAAGCGAATAAAATCCCTGGCTCCACAGTTGCTGCAGCCGTCGGTCTGCTAGGAAGTCTTAGGCAAGCTGCCGCCTCTCAGCCTTAACTAGGGTAGCCACGTGTCCTACAGGATCAGGCCAAAGGGAACCCATCCAGTCCGGTGTCTTGTTCTTGCTGTGGTCACCCAGATGCCTGTGCAAGGAGGACCCCAACACAAGAGCAACTAGTATTCAGAAGTATTGCTTTCTGGCAAGTAGCCCATAGCTGTCAACTTTGAAAATAAGGGACCAGCAGCCAAAATAAGGGATTTTCCCAGCACAGGTAGGTTCAACTTCTGAGCCCCTCCGAGCCAAAGGCAGAAAGCCCAGCCAGCAGCCCAACGAAGCCTCAAGCGGTGGTTCCCACAGCGCAGCAACCCGGCAAAGGGGATGCAGCAAGGAAAACCACCGTCACCTCTCCGCTGGGAGCAAAGGCGAGTCCCCAGGCAACGTGGCCGATTTGATCGGCACAAGGCATGCAAGCTCCACCCCCTAGTCGTTCTTAGACTCCTTATTGGGTGAGCAACGCAGCCAAGCAACACAGTTGGAGCCTCCCTCCTCCCTGGCCGGCAGGCAGGGAGGGAGAGGAGCTGCTTCCTTTGAAATCCGGGAAATTTAAGGGACATCATCAATAAGGGACAGCAGCGGGACATGGCGCTGGGATAAGGGACTTTCCCGCCAAATAAGGGACGGTTGACAGCTATGCAAGTAGCCATGGATGGCTTTCTCCTCCTTTACAAAAGAGAGTCTCTATTTGAAAGGCTTTCTGGTCCAACCCCAGCTTAGAGAAAAATAACTCTAAGAAGGAAGAGGCCTCGAAGATGCCCGCCCACAGTTAGCAACACCTGGCCAGCAGACTGAGCAGGCCCACAGCTCACCTGGTTACAGTCTTCCTCACTCTGGTGAGATGCTTTCATTTCATTTCCAGCCCAGGTTTCCACCAAAGAGCTCAAGGTGGCGTACGTGGTTCTCTTCCTCCTCGTTTTATCCTCTCAACAGCCTTGTGAGGTAGGCTAGGATGAGAGACAGTGACTGGCCCAAGGCCACCCTGTGAATTTCACGGCTGAGCAGGGATTTGAACCCTGCTCTTCCAGGTCCTCATCTACTATTCTAACCACAACATTATAGTTATTACTCATAAACAGGTATCTCCATATCAATTGACAGTTGCGGAATTTATTTCCGCCTCCCCCTTTTTTGTGGCGCATCTCCTCCTTTCCAGCGACACAAACGTGGCCGACCTGCTAACCGCACCCAGGTTCCCGGAAGGATGTGTTTGCCACAGCAGATGAGACGGGTGACACTTTCCAAAGGATTGACTGTAGTGCCTTTACACGGGTTAACTCTGAACACGGATTTAAGAAGTCGTTTGCCTCAGTCCATGCAGGTTTCCTTCAGAAGGAAGCCAGATTCTTCAGTGAGACTTACTCTGTGTACTATATGTACATAATAAGCTAGCGCACCAGCGGCACCCCTTGCTTGAGATACAGTAATCCCACAACTTACACGGGCGTTATGTTCCGGGGATCATGCCTAAAGTCAAAATTGTGCATGGTCAGAGCACATCGGGTGCAATGGCGGGTGGGATTGCCAGAATATTTTCTCATGGATACCCACTGGCATTCTAATTTTAAAATATATTTTTAAATGATGATGATGATGATGATGATAATTTTTATTTATACTCCGCCCTCCCCAGCCAAGACCGGGCTCAGGGCGGCTAACAACCAATAATAAAAACAAGTTGATTGAAATACAACTTAAAAAACAAGATTAAAATACAACATTAAAACATTAAAATGCAGCCTCATCACAGGAGGAGAAAGGAAAAAAGAAAGAGGGGGAGGGAATCAAACTGTCTTACAGGCCCTGCGGAAAGAAATCAGATCCTGCAGGGCCCTGGTCTCATGAGACAGAGCGTTCCACCAGGCCCGGGGCCAGTGTTGAAAAGGCCCTGTCTCTGGTTGAGGCTAACTTCCGTAGGGCCCGGGACCTCTAGGGTGTTTCTATTTATGGACCTTAAGGTCCTCCGTGGGGCATACCGGGAGAGGCGGCCCCGTAGGTACGAGGGTCCTAGGCCGTGAAAGCTGAATGTGCACACAGGGCCGTATTACCCATAGGCACTAGGGGTGCGGGGCACCTGGGCAAGTTCGGGGGCGACCGAGCCAATGAGACGCTGAGGCAGCTGGCCGGCTCCGCCCTCCTGCGCACCTGGGACTGGGCAACCTGGGGAGGGAGGCGCCGGGTGGATTTTTGCACCCCGGTGCTGCATATGCTTAAGACAGCCCTGTGTGCACAAGATACACCAAAGTTGAGGGTTTAGTGTATCTGATTTGGCCACAGTGACACAGGCCTAAGTTACATCCCATTGGAATGACTGTAACATGCTCTATATGGGGCTGCCTTTGAAAAATGCTCAGAAACCTCAACCGGCTCAAAGAACGGCAGCCAGATTGTTGACCAGGGCCTGTTAGAGGGAGCAGACGACCCCTTGCTGGAACAGTTCCACCAACTACCAGTCTGTTTCCAGGCACAGTTCAAAGTGCTGGTTATGATCTATACACCATGTAGGCCCAAACTCTCTGAAAGACCGTATTCTCTCATACGAACCTGCCTGGGTTTTGCGATCTTGAGGGGAGGCCCTTCTCTCCATCCTGCCATCCTCACAGGAAGGCCTAGTGGGGACATGGGACAGGGCCTCCTCAGTGGCTGCTCCCAGACTTTGGAGTTATCTCCCTAAATAAGTTCGCCTGGCTCCCTCCTTGTTGTCGTTCCATTGGCAGGTGAAGACCTTTTTGCTCCAACAAGCTTTTGGGAATCGACTGCTTTTAGTTAACGGGCTGGTGGCATGCTGTTTTCATTGTAAATATTGGTGTATTTATAAACAGATTTAATATATGCATATAGTTTTAATTCTATCAATGTTTAATTGCTTTTTAATGTTGGATTATTCTATGTTTTCAGCAGCTCTTGATTTTATCTGTAAGCCGCCTTGACTCCTGTCAGGGAAAACGGCAAACTGAAACAACAGCAATATCACAGTCTAAGAAAAGTAATACAGTCACCAATCTTTAGCAACAACTTATTTTTCTCTCTCTTTATAATTGCAGATGATCCAAGCTATTCAAGTTCTGAGATTCCACCTTCTGGAATTAGAAAAGGTACAGATGTTTGCTTTGCTTTGCAATTTCTTTTATCCTTTTCCCACCCGCAAACCCTACACCCCCCCCTCAAAAAACACCCCCAGTCTTAGCAATTTGGAAACTAGGCAGAAGGACATGATTGACCCCTGCTTTATTAGTGGCATCCCTGATTGGGAAAGAGCTGTGGTTTCCTACAATAACTGCTGAAACCAAATGTTGGGCAAAATCAAGTTTGCTGAGAAGTCAAGTTGTGGTCAATATGTCTTCCTTGCTGCAGCTAGTTTAGAATCCTGCACTGAAGAAAGTTGGATTTTGAAACCTGCATGAATTAGGTAGATTGAACCATTATAAGTTTTTACATGCGTTCTCTGACTTCTGTATAAATCATGTTGTGCATGCTCTAGTTAACTCCCGCTTGGACTACTGCAATGCACTCTACATGGGGCTACCTTTGAAGGTGACCTGGAAATTGCAATTAATCCAGAATGCGGCAGCTAGACTGGTGACTGGGAGCGGCCGCCGAGACCATATAACACCAGTCCTGAGAGATCTGCATTGGCTCCCAGCATGTTTCCGAGCACAATTCAAAGTGTTGGTGCTGACCTTTAAAGCCCTGAATGGCCTCGGTCCAGTATACCTGAAGGAGCGTCTCCACCCCCATCATTCAGCCCGGACACTGAGGTCCAGCGCCGAGGGCCTTCTGGCGGTTCCCTCATTGCGAGAAGTGAGGTTACAGGGAACCAGACAGAGGGCCTTCTCGGTAGTGGCGCCCGCCCTGTGGAACACCCTCCCAGCAGTTGTGAAGGAAATAAGCAGCTATCCTATCTTTAAAAGACATCTGAAGGCAGCCCTGTTCAGGGAAGTTTTTTATATTTAATGCTGTATTGTTTTTAACATTTGATTGGGAGCTGCCCAGAGTGGCTGGGGAGACTCAGCCAGATGGGTGCGGTATAAATAATAACTTCTTCTTCTTCTTCTTCTTCTTCTTCTTCTTCTTCTTCTTCTTCTTCTTCTTCTTCTTCTTCTTCTTCTCATTCTGACATGTTTGCCATTTCACATGACTTGTTTTGGTTCTGCTGATATCCTGCCCCAACCCTTTAGAAAACGTTAACTGAGGCCCACCTCCCAGTACCTGAGACTTCAGGCATTGCCCACACACCTCCAGGCATATCATGAGGGAAAGAAACTTGTCTTTATAAAAGGAAAGTTGATGGTGGGGAGGGGGAGTTGAGGTCCTCCACCGCAGAATTCTCAGTCTCATGGTGCAAGATCTCACATATTTCTTCTGTCCTTCTGCAAAACTAGTTTTCATATAGCTCCAAGTAAAGCCTGAGGTGGTCCCTGGGAAAAATGAAAGGGTGAAAAATCCCACTATCTCAAAGTATAGGATTCTTTTAAAAAAAAACACAAATCAAAATCCAAGTTATCCTCCAGCAAAAAGAAAAAGAAAGAAGTTTGCAAATAATTTCCCTTTCTCACAAGCGGCAGCAACAGCTGTCTCCAATTTTGAAGTATTTCCTCATATGGGAGTGAGAAGGGGAGAAGTTTTAAAAATAGACTCAGAGTCCAGTTCTCCATTATGTTTTTACGGCACCAGAACTCATAGGTTTTCAGATAAATGCTAACCTAGCGATGCCCCCCACCCATTCATACTGATCCCGAGAGGGTTGGCTAAAGAATACAGAAACGGCGTCTCTCTGTGTGTATCTTGTAGGTTTTGTGGCTCGATCCACAAATCTCCTGGCCACCACAATGCTCAGGTTTTCATCCCACAGCTGCCCATTTCTGAGCTAGGCATACATGCCCAGGACAGGTTACGAGACTTCAGATCTGAGCTATCGAGCCACTATATTTAGCAAAGCCACTCTGGCCTTGTCAATGGAAGCCACTTCAGTTTAGTGGCTCCGGTTTCGCAAACCTCATCCCAGGGCCCCGGTCCTGCAGCGGAGCTGAGAAGAGCTGGCTGGCTGGCTGGCTAGGTCGCCACGAGGCACTTTGCCATGCGGCTCAGCTCCTACGCAGCTCCCCTTTTGCTTTGATCTCGCGGCTTCCAGCTCCACGTTGACAGCTTCAATTGTTCTAGGCAAACGTAACTGAAGGCGAAGCTGCAGAAAGGCATCCAGCGAGATCACACTGGGAAGCTGAGGGAAGGAGGGTGTTGGCAGAGACATCTTTCTGCCCGCTGCTGCCCATCACCTTTGGCCCGGCCAACATGGTGCCCTGTAAATATTTTGGGCTACAGCTAGAGTGCGCCAGGTTGGCATAGCCTGACAAGACAGAAGTACTGTTTTTGAGGGGACAGGAGGCGGGTGGGTGTGGAGGATTCCCTGGTCCTGAATGGGGTAACTGTGCCCCTGAAGGACCAGGTGCGCAGCCTGGGAGTCATTTTGGACTCACAGCTGTCCATGGAGGCGCAGGTCAATTCTGTGTCCAGGGCGGCTGTCTACCAGCTCCACCTGGTACGCAGGATGAGACCCTACCTGCCCACAGATTGTCTTGCCAGAGTGGTGCATGCTCTGGTTATCTCCCGCTTGGACTACTGCAACGCGCTCTACGTGGGGCTCCCTTTGAAGGTGACCCGGAAACTGCAATTAATCCAGAATGCGGCTGCTAGACTGGTGACTGGAGTGGCCGCTGGGACCACATAACACCGATCCTGAGAGATCTGCATCCCAGTACGTTTCCGAGCACAATTCAAAGTGTTGGTGCTGATTTTTAAAGCCCTAAACGGCCTCGGTCCTGTATACCTGAAGAAGGCTGCCCTGTTTTGGGAAGTTTTTAATATTTAATGTTGTATTGTTTTTAACACTCGATTAGAAGCTGCCCAGAGTGGCTAGGGAAACTCAGCCAGATGGGGGGGTATAAATAATAAATTATTATTATAATATTATTATTATTATTATAGCCTGTCTATATATCCTGGCGAGGTCTGGCCCAGAAACAAGTGTATGGGGTGCATGTTGCTTATGCGTTTAAGTTCAGAAGAAGCTGGGTTCATCAGAGGTTGTTGCCTAGCAACCGCTCCATTAGAGCGATACCTTGGACCAGTGTCTTGGGCCTCCTGCGTTCAGAAATTCGGATATGGGTGGTTGATGTCACAGTACTTAAGATCACAGGCTGTTTGTACTGGTGTGTCAGCCCAGTTAGAATTGCATCCTTTGGAAGATAAAGAAGTGTAAGCCAGTGAGATTATTTGATTGAAGTTAGCTGTGTCTATTAATTTCAGTGGGTCTACTCTGAGCAGGACTAACGTTGGATGCAACCTTTTGGGTCTTCCCTGCAAGAGACAGGCCATGCTCCTTGGCTTAGGCTCACGTCCAAACTGGGGACCGTTGTTCGTTTTGCTCTAACAAACCACGGCCAGTAAGCCAAGGACAAACCTTGGCTACAGATCAGAGTTCCTTGGAAGGGAAACAAACCACAATCCCTGATTTGGATGTAATGCTAAGATAGGGATCGTGGCTTGTGTCTGTCCAGCGCTAGCAGAAGGGCGGGCAGAAAAAACACAACTGGATTGTGGTTGGTAAGCTTACTGTGACTTGACAGGGCCTTTTCGGTGATGGTTTCCAGGTGTGGAACACCTTTCCTGGCAAGGTACACCTGTCTCCCTCACTGTTGAGAAAGTTAAAAATATTCCTGTTTACCCAAGATAATAAATAATAGATAATAAATAAATGTGGCCTCAGAAAGCTAGCAAGTCAGGGGGACGGACGGACTAGACTATAACCCTTCTCCCTGACGTGATCAACTTCCATGTGAAACCTGAAAGTTTATCTTTACGAAAACAGAACAGTCCTTTCACCTAGAAATCTAACACATCAGGGACATGTCTCCTCCCTGACACTCTAGCTTTCGAGATACAGGCTGCCCACCTCTTTGAGTTATTTGGGGGGCCCTGGAAAAGAGTGGGTGTCAAGTCTACCCCCCTTTAACCAGCCCAAACCCACATGTGAAAACCCCACTGGTTGCCACTACAGGTGGGGCATGGGGCTGTGTGTGTGTGTGTGTGTGTGGAAATAAAGGCACGCTCTTTGATAGGGTAATGAGCTCGTTAGCCACGCAGTAAAACTCAGTGTTTGTAACCTGATAAATCCCTTGTTCATGTAATTAACCCTTTGATTCACGCAGAGGGCACCTGCTGGGAAGCGGCAGACTCTAGAAGCTGGGGTTTAATTCTTTGTCCTGGGGAAAGGGGTGTTTCTGAGTTCAGAAGAGGGAGAAGGGGGTCGGTGATGCTCTGCTGGGTCAGAGACAAGGCTGTGGGGAGGCAGCCCCATTCAGCCACCACTGAAGTCTCTTAGATCTCTGACATGCTAACATTAAGGGGGTCCCAAAAATTCGCTAGGCAGTTACCAGATCTAGACCGGCTTAGTTTCAGCAAGGTGCTGGCTTCACGTACCTTCAGAATAAGCCCTGGTCTGCGGCCTGTTTATTAAAAACAAAAGCCCTGCCAAGATTCTAGAGCCTAATACTTCAAGAGGAGTTTGAAAGGGGCAATGGGGCATTTATTTATTCATGTTAAAGCAGTCATAAACCACTCAGCATTTCAAGAATCTCCCAGTCTAAAAAACGAACAAATATACAGTGGTACCTCGGGTTAAGTACTTAATTCATTCCGGAGGTCCATTCTTAACCTGAAACTGTTCTTAACCTGAAGCACCACTTTAACTAATGGGGCCTCCTGCTGCCACCGCGCCACCAGAGCCCGATTTCTGTTCTTATCCTGAAGCAAAGTTTTTAACCTGAAGCACTATTTCTGGGTTAGCGGAGTCTGTAACCTGAAGTGTCTGTAACCTGAGGTACCACTGTACTGTTAAAGCAAATGAAATGATAATGAAATAATAAGACTGAACTTTACAAAACCCACACATATATAAACAGGAACAAAAACGGAGCCTGATAAAACAGCAATATAAAAGCACAGAAAAGCGAATAAAACAGAAATTCAGAGGACTCAAAAACATGTAAAATGGGGGCTTTTCTTATGGGGCAGGGAAATCCTGGGCATATAAATATATCCTCTGCTTCCTGCTCTTGAACCAGTTACTGATGCAGGAACGGATCTTATCTGTTATGCCATCATTAGAAAGGAAAAAGTCCATATCTTGCCCCCCCTTCCCTGAGTTCTTGGTTGCTTCCAGAACTCCTGAATGTTCAGGTAGAATACTTACCAGCTGGAAATTCCTGGCTTTTAAACCAGCCACTCCTGTCTACTCTTTCATTTTCACTTTTTTCTTTCTTTTTGGCAGGTACATGACCTCTGTGACAATTTCTGCCACCGCTACATCACTTGCCTCAAGGGGAAGATGCCCATTGACTTGGTCATCGACGACAGAGACGGGGGCTCGAAATCCGACCTGGAAGATTTTGGCGGCTCCTGCGCCAGCCTCTCCGATCAGGTAGGACACCTGCGGGGCATGAGCTTCGGGCAGCAAGCCCTGGCTGCAGCCAAACCGTTTGCCTGCTGCAATCATAATTTGACTTTAAGAAAAAGGAGGCACGTTTTCAAGGAGTTTTCTGCCGACCTGGAAATTTGCAAATGTAGATTCTCAGGTGCGTGTCTGAATGTTGCGCTTGTGATCAGCGGCATCAACTATAATGCAAAGTCAACTATATTGCAAAATGTTTTATAGGAAAAGTGGAGTGGTGTGAGGATCTCCCAGTGCCATTTCCATGCACAACTCTACGTTGATGCAAAGCATCATTTGTGAGTTTGGGATGCTTACCTGCAATAGCTCAGGGGTTAAAAGTGCTGAAGGTTCAATCTTTAGCATCTTCAGGTAGGACTGAGAGGTGTGGGAATGTTCAGGGTGACAAGAGAGGATATATTGATTCTTAATATCCTTCTAACTTGCGCTATGTGATGGCCTGGGATTCGGACTCAGAGGCTGAACCTGAGGAATCCCAGCCTGCACAGGATTCCCCGCCTCCAGAACCAGCTGAGCTGGGGCTGGGGCATGAGCCTGAAGGGTCCTCACCTGTGCGGGATCCTCAGGTGCAGGCATCAGCTGAGTCTGCTCTGGCTCCTGAGGTGATGGAGGACCCATTGCCTGCAGGTGCTCCACTCTCAGCCCCGTCAGAGGAAGCTGAGGTTGCCTCTGGGTCCGGTAACCCTCCAGCCTCTCCTGAGCTGCAGAGGCTCAGGGCAGAGAGGAGCAGGGAACTAAGTTCCCGCAGGAGGAGTGCTCGCCTCCAGGCCAGGAGAGGCGAGTCACCAGAGGATCGGGGCCGCCCTATGCCTCGGGGCACACAAAAGCCGGTCAGCCCAGTCCCAAGTTGCGGGAGCAACATTGATGGTAGCCTGTTCCTGCCTGCACCCTGTCCTGCTTTTCTGCCGGAGCTCCTGACCTCACCCAACTCCCTGCCTTGGACCCAGCTTCAGCTCTGTCGGACTGCCTGCATACTGCAACCTCGACCTCATGGTTAGCCCACGGGACCAGCACACGCTAGCAAGTTCCTTTACTTAGCAGAGTTTACATTCCCCTTTTTACACGCACAGCAGATAGCTGGCTGCAGGCTTGTGTAAGCCTCTCACATTACCTGTCTCAGATTGTATTGTACGTTCCTGGTAAGTTCCCTTGAATCCCTCTTAAAAGAATAAAGACACCACAATCTTATTCAAAGTCAATAAAATAAGTTTACTTACATCAGTTCACAGTTGGATCCCTGAAGGCAGACTTAGTTACAAATATGTACATGAGGATCTACCCCATATGGGGATTAATCCCAGTGCTTCTGCTAGCTGAGAGCAGTCCTAGCTAGAAGCTGGTCAAACGAAGAAGGAAGTGAAAAAGAGAGAGGTGTGCTGCGTGACTCGTCCTTTTGTTACCTGGACAGGTTAGGTCACGCCCACCTTCTATCACATGCAAAAGGAAGGATGGTCCAGCCAGGAGGAACAGGAAGTTTCAACTGGCTGGACCAAACATCCCTTTGCATGTCCACTCTAGGAAGACAAGGAATGTTGTATTTGACTGCTCCCAGTGGATTACATCCCACAAGATGGACCCTTATCTGGAACCATGGAAAGCCAGTGTAGACAATAATGTGCTACATGGACCAATGGTTGGACTCGCAATACAGCAAATTCCTATTTTCCCAATAGCCAATGTGCAATTGGGGTAACAGCAGGATTTTCCAGATCGTTATTTCACATTGCAATTTGGGATGCTAGAGTTCTTGTGCTAGTTAAAGAGGATAGTGATCTGGCTTAATGCTATATACTTCATTTATTTCCTTTTTTATATATATACAATAGCACATAGCTCTTTTCCTCCTGTGGAAACAACCCTTTATAATTAGTTATTTATTACCATTAGCTGCGCCGCCTTTTTGTGATGAAATTTTAAGCCCATGTTCGCCGTTTTCTCTGCTCTTTCGACATGCTGGAATTCTGTTCTTCCCATCCCTGAAAAGGGCAGGTTGAAACAATCACTTTAATAAATAAGTAATCCATCATGCGACCTTGTGTTTTCTTACCATTTCTGACCGACTTGCTTGGGTCAGCTTTCTTTACGCTGGGCAAGAGTTATAAGAAATCTTTTCTGGCCTCACTGTGCTCCCCTTTTTCTTTCTGAGAGTTAATGGCAACTTTTCAGAACCCAGTTGTTGTATTGGGGACATAAAATTTGCTGCTGCAATGATGTGATCCCACCCTCTTCAGTTTAGGAAATGATATCCGCAGATATTTCTTGTGCAGCTGTTTCTTCCAAACATATTGAGTTCAGAAGAGTCCCTTCTAGTCTTAAATCCTGCTCTTATCCAGGGCCTGCTATTTTGTGCGTGAAAGTGTGGCGATCCTTACCTAACCTGCTTTCTCTGCTGGGAGACCTGGCAAATATGCCCAATCTACTGCTTCAGTCTGTTACACGTGCTACATAATACTCATTCTGCTTTTGCAAGAAACTACAGCTAATCCAGAATATAGCGGCCAGACTGGTGACTGGGAGCAGCTGCTGCGACCACGTAACACCTGTCCTAAATGATCTACATTAACTCCCAGTAAGTTTCCAAGCACAACATAAAGGTTTGGTGCTGATCTTTAAGGCCCTAAACGGCCTTGGCCCAGTACAGTCAAACCTCGGTTCTCAAACGGCTCCATTTTTGAACATTTCGGCTCCCGTATGCCAAAAACTCAGAAGTAAATGCTCCGGTTTTTGAATGTTTTTCGGAACCTGAACATCTGTCTGAGTACAAGAAGCTCTTGCAACCAATCAGAAGCTGCGCCTTGGTTGTCGAACGGTCTTCCGGAACGGATTACATTCGACAACTGAGATTTGACTGTCTACCTGAAGGAGTGTCTCCATCCCCATCATTCAGCCCGGACGCTGAGGTCCAGCTCCGAGGGCCTTCTGGCGGTTCCTTCCCTGCAAGAAGAAGGTTACAGGGAACCAGGCAGAGGGCCTTCTCGGTGGTGGCGCCCGCCCTGTGGAACGCCCTCCCAGCAGATGTCAAGGAAATAAATAACTATCTGACTTTTAAAAGACATCTGAAGGCAGCCCTGTTTAGGGACATTTTTAAGGTTTGATGTTCTGTTGTGTTTTTTATATTTTGCTGGAAGCTGCCTAGAGTGGCTGGGGCAACCTAGTCAGATGAGAGGCAAATAAATAATAAAATTATTATTCTTATAGGCAGGGCCAAAGCAAATGTGGGGGGTGCCAACCTCCTCCCTGTTTTCCTCTCCACCCAACAGACTGCCAGACTAGGGAACAGCTCACTTTCGCCACAGATCTGAAGTGACCACTTGCAGAGAGACTGCCCTTGGAATCAGGCCATACCGAATTAGGCCAAGGGTCTCCATCTTGCCCACAGACCACCGATGACTCCCCAATGTTTCGGACAGTTCACAGCTCTAGCTGGAGTTTCAAGGGTGCGAACCTTTTGCCTGCAAGTGCGCGTTTTGCCGCGCGGCGATAATTTTTGCCGAGGCAGACGGAGGCGCAGAAATAACACTTGGATATCCTCAGGCTACCCAGCTTCACATAAAGCATTTTGAAATATAGCTGACTTTGGGATCCCTCCCTGCACCCCACACCCCCTGTCCCGTCCCACAACAGGTTTAGCTGGCTTCTGCTTGCTTCAAAAAGCCATTTGATCGGCAGGGAGAAAGGAATGGTCTGTTTGCATCCTACAAAATCGAGCTTATCTCTCAAGCCGCGTTCCGCTCTTTTTGTTGTTGTTTAGTCGTTTAGTCGTGTCCGACTCTTCGTGACCTCCTGGACCAGAGCACGCCAGGCACTCCTGTCTTCCACTGCCTCCCGCAGTTTGGTCAAACTCATGTTTGTAGCTTCGAGAACACTGTCCAACCAGCTCGTCCTCTGTCGTCCCCTTCTCCTTGTGCCCTCCATCTTTCCCAACATCAGGGTCTTTTCCAGGGAGTCTTCTCTTCTCATGAGGTGGCCAAAGTATTGGAGCCTCAGCTTCAGGATCTGTCCTTCCAGTGAGCACTCAGGGCTGATTTCCTTCAGAATGGAGAGGTTTGATCTTCTTGCAGTCCATGGGACTCTCAAGAGTCTCCTCCAGCACCATAATTCAAAAGCATCCATTCTTCGGCGATCAGCCTTCTTTATGGTCCAGCTCTCACTTCCATACATCCGCTCTTTTTGGTCTACCTTAATTTGGGGGGGAAGTGATTAATAATGGTGTAAAATAAATATAACCCCTCCTCTCCCAGCCCGTATGGCTACTCTCGCCCCTTCCCCTGTAAGGGAAGTGGGGGAGGAGGGGGACCCAGATCTCCTTGCAACATTCATGAGTTTGAAAGAAAAGGGTCCTACATTTGGAAAATAATTACCCCTGACAGTTAGCTGGTAATGAAGGAGACGTGGTCGCTTCTTGCACTGCCCCTGATCTCTCCCTTCCCTTCCCCTCCCCGCCCCGCCAACTTTTTCATTTTTTCCCAAGCCCCGCTAATGCAGTCAACACATTCATTTGCCTATAGCAACTTCCTTGCATTTTTAATGTGCCCCGGGGCTATCGGGCTGGAAGCTTCGCAGAGTGGAGGGTTTTTTTTGGGGGGGGGGTGGCGCAAGCAGACGGGGGGGGGAGGAGGCTAATTCTAGCAACATCCGCAGCCCAGCATCTGAGGACCTTTCTTAGCTGTTCATCTCCTCTTCCACACTGAACATGAAGGGGAAAGAAAGTCGGTGTTGGATGGAGATCAGCCTTCTCCCATCTCCAACGACTGCCTAAGGGGGCCTGTAAGAGAGGCCTGGTGGCCTGCCCCTGTTTTTCCACCCCATGCCCCGCTTTATCGCAGGTACACTGCGCCTCTACATGGAGGTTCTGATTAATAATAATAATAATAATAATAATAATAATAATAATACAGTGGTACCTCGGGTTACCTACGCTTCAGGTTACATACGCTTCAGGTTACAGACTCCGCTAACCCAGAAACAGTGCTTCAGGTTAAGAACTTTGCTTCAGGGTGAGAACAGAAATCGTGCTCTGGTGGCGCGGCAGCAGCAGGAGGCCCCATTAGCTAAAGTGGCGCTTCAGGTTAAGAACAGTTTCAGGTTAAGTACGGACCTCCGGAACAAATTAAGTACAGAGGTACCTCTGTAATAATAATAATAAATTTTATTTATACCCCGCCCTCCCTGGCCAGAGCCGGGCTCAGGGCGGCTAACACCAATAAAATCACAGTAAAAACGTAATAGGGGAAAAAATAAACAATTTAAAATACAGGTTAAAATGCAATTTAAAATACATTAGCTGTTGCATTTGAGGGCTTTCAATATGTGCCTAACCTCCCCCTTATTTTATTTTTTTAAAAAACAAGTCATCTGAATTTCCCATTTTTACCCTTTGACACTGAAGGCGTCTATATTTAGACCCGCCCTGTTCTCCCAATTGTAAATTGCTAGGGCTAATTTTAATACTGCATTATTACTGTATTATTATTTTTACACCTGCAGTGGGTTCTTCTGATGAAGGGCAGGTAAGAAGTGCGCTTTGGGTGGGCCTGCATGGCGCGTAACGTTTGCCTGGCTTTTACCCGGGGCCCAGCCTTGACAGGGGCAGGCCCCGCCCTGTGGAACTCCTTGCCAGTAGAAGTTTGGCAGGAGCGATCCCTACCCTTTTTTTTTAATGCCTTCTAAAAATGGTATTATTTAGACGTGCCTTTCAAAACCTGAGATTCTTACTGCAGCACTGTGTGTTATCTTCTTGTATGAAAGTGTGATTTTTAATACAGTGGTACCTTGGGTTAAGTACTTAATTCATTCTGGAGGGTCCGTTCTTAACCTGAAACTGTTCTTAACCTGAAGCACCACTTTAGCTAATGGGGCCTCCCGCTGCTGCCGCGTCGCTAGAGCACGATTTCTGTTCTTATCCTGAAGCAAAGTTCTTCACCTGGAGCACTATTTCTGGGTTAGTGGAGTCTGTAACCTGAAGCGTATGTAACCTGGCTTGAGAGCAGTACATGTGAAAAGGATCTAGGAGTCTTGGTTGACCACAAACTTGACATGAGCCAACAGTGTGACGCGGCAGCTAAAAAAGCCAATGCAATTCTGGGCTGCATCAATAGGAGTATAGCATCTAGATCAAGGGAAGTAATAGTGCCACTGTATTCTGCTCTGGTCAGACCTCACCTGGAGTACTGTGTCCAGTTCTGGGCACCACAGTTCAAGAAGGACACTGACAAACTGGAACGTGTCCAGAGGAGGGCAACCAAAATGGTCCAAGGCCTGGAAACGATGCCTTATGAGGAACGGCTAAGAGAGCTGGGCATGTTTAGCCTGGAGAAGAGGAGGTTAAGGGGTGATATGATAGCCATGTTCAAATATATAAAAGGATGTCACATAGAGGAGGGAGAAAGGTTGTTTTCTGCTGCTCCAGAGAAGCGGACACGGAGCAATGGATCCAAACTACAAGAAAGAAGATTCCACCTAAACATTAGGAAGAACTTCCTGACAGTAAGAGCTGTTCGACAGTGGAATTTGCTGCCAAGGAGTGTGGTGGAGTCTCCTTCTTTGGAGGTCTTTAAGCAGAGGCTTGACAACCATATGTCAGGAGTGCTCTGATGGTGTTTCCTGCTTGGCAGGGGGTTGGACTCGATGGCCCTAGTGGTCTCTTCCAACTCTATGATTCTATGATTCTATGATTCTAACCTGATGTACCGCTGTAAATTTAAAAAAATAAAGGTAGTGGCTTTTGCTGCGGCCGTCAGTCCCACGATTGGGCGCGGGGTGGGCAGGTGGGGAATGCTAATATCCCAAATAATAATTGTTGGAAATTCAAATCCCACCCCCGTTAACATGCTTAAGCCTCCGTCCTTAAGATGGGGAGCCAAATCTCAGCCCTGGACTTGACTCTTAAGCGGCTCTCTTGTGAAATCCGCTTTGGGCAGAAGTTGCTGGGCCTGCACTTAATTAACCGCTAGTGTTGCTACCTTTGCTTCCTAGAGTTTGAAACAGCGACCCCCTGACCCCTCCCTTCCCGTTTATTGTGGTCTACAAGTGTTAGGTTCGCTTTCGAAATCCGCAGCTCCTTAACCCCTTGAACCCCGTAGGCCTCTCGCTTGTGGGGCTCCTGTGATCAGCTCTGCCAGGTTAATCAGGGAGGGCATGAGAGGGCGGGGCGGGGGCGGGGGGGGACCCGGGGCTTTGTTTTAGTCCCCCCGCAAGTCGGGGGGCTGCAATCCGAGCCCCTTCGGTAGCTGCGCCAGAGGCCCGGTGTCCCCCTTTGAACTCTCTTCAATTGGGCAAGGGAAGGGGAGGGAAGGGGGGGTCAAAATAATTACAGCCCCAGCGGAGGCGTTGTGGAAATCCCTGCTAAATCCTGGCCTCCTCCTTAAAGGATTTATGGGGAGGGGGGGGAAGGCTTACATGGGAGAAGGAACTGGGAGCTGCGGATAAGGGAGTTGCCCCATGGTAGGGATTCCCTGAGCCGGCAGCAGCCTCTGGACAGGCGGAAGTCGAACCGGTGAAGCTGCCGCCCTTGCTGAATACCCTTGCCAGGAAAAACAAATTTCATAGAATCGTGGCGTTGGAAGGGACACCTGAGGATCATCTAGTCCAACCCGCTGCAATGCAGGAACATGCAGCTGTCCCAAACTTGCACCCTTGGCGTTATCAGCGCCAGGCTCTAACCAACTGAGCTATGTCTGTTTGTTTCTTCCTGTCTGCGCAGGGTCAGGGTAGGGAAGAATTTGCCTACTGATTGTCCCTGTTTACAAACACACTAGGGGTACTAATAATACCAGCCTACTTTGCAGGGACGGGACGCGGGTGGTGCTGTGGGTTAAAACCACAGAGCCTAGGGCTTGCCGATCAGAAGGTTGGCGGTTCGAATCCCCGAGACGGGGTGAGCTCCCATTGCTCGGTCCCTGCTCCTGCCAACCTAGCAGCTCAAAAGCATGTCAAAGTGCAAGTAGATCAATAGGTACCGCTCTGGCGGGAAGGTAAACGGCGTTTCTGTGCGCTGCTCTGGTTCGCCAGAAGCGGCTTAGTCCTGCTGGCCACATGACCCGGAAGCTGTACGCCGGCTCCCTCGGCCAGTAAAGCGAGATGAGCGCCGCAACCCCAGAGTCGGCCATGACTGGACCTAATGGTCAGAGTCCATTACCTTTACCTTGCAGGGATATTGGGGGGACTTTTGAGGGGGTGCAGATTGGGCGCAGGCAGTTTGGTGCCTTCCAAATCATTGTTGGACTACAGTTCCCATAACAGGGGGGCCACATGGCTAACTTTCCACCCACTGACCACCCAAAGTGACTGGGGAACGGGGTGGGGGTGGAGAGAGAGAAACTTTCCCAGAGAACTATTTTTCTCCTCCTTGTCATACGCTCAGGGATGAGGGATGCTTCAAGGTCAATAAAGAATCAATTGCAAGGTGTTCTAATTGGTTTACATGTACCATCCTAAGTTTTCCTAGCTGGGTCTCTGCCATGGGCATCTATTTTGTATGGCCTTTACATTCATCTGCTCTTATTTTCTGTGTTGTGCTTAACTGGTTTTCCATGCCACGCTCATTGCATTTTGTACCTTGCCTTGAGGTATGGGTGGGTGAGGCGAAATAGTTAGCTAATTAGTTTAATTAAGAATACAATATCGATTTGACTCTGGTTGCATGGCCTTTGGGACAACTGAGGACATTCAAGGTTCGGCTCAGTTCTTGCAAAGCTTCTCTTCCAAGCCATTCACAGAACGCCCAAGGAATAAGAATTGCCTTGCAGGTGACAGATGAAGGGTTCTATCATCTATCTATCTATCTATCTATCTATCTATCTATCTATCTATCATCTATCTATCTATCTATCTATCTATCTATCTATCTATCATCTATCATCTATCTATCTATCTATCTATCTATCTATCTATCTATCATCTATCATCTATCTATCTATCATCTATCTATCTATCTATCTATCTATCATCTATCTATCTATCTATCTATCATCTATCTATCTATCTATCATCTATCATCTATCATCTATCTAATCTGCTGATAACCATTCTTCCTGGGTTGGGGATGAAAGGAAAACATGGATCTGGTTAATCTCCTGGTGCCCACTCACACAGCTAACCTTGCCATATGTGCTCTCTTCTCCTGTAGAACAACTCTTGGATCCGGGACCACGATGAGACGGGATCCACGCACTCGGGAACGCCGGGACCTTCCAGCGGTGGGATTGCGTCGCAGAGCGGCGATAACTCCAGCGAACAAGGTAGGTTTAGTGGATGCTGGAGGGAGGAGAAAGGCTCTGCTTCCGTGGTCCTGGATTTTCTGTGTGGGCTCCAGGTAAGGAGAGCACTGCAGAGAGAGCCTTTTAGGTGGAATTAAGGATCTAAAGAAGGTGCGAAAGGTGATGTCTTTGACCAACAGCGCTAATACAGCAAAGAAAGAATTTAAGGGAACAATTGTAGAAAAAGAAAAGACATCCACCTCAAATAAAAATATTTGACACGGGCCTACAAAATAGGGAAGCTCAAGAAAAATACAGTATAACAAAATACAGTGGTACCTCGGTTTTCAAACATAATCCGTTCTGGAAGACCATTCGAGTTCTGAAACGTTCAAAAACCGAAAACTCAGTATGGAAGCCTCAATACGGAAACTGAATATGGAAAACTCAATACGGAAGGTGTGTGGCATGTTTGACTTCCGAGGCGAGTTCGAAAACCGAAGCATTTACTTCCGGGTTTACAGCATTCGAAAACCGAAATGTTCGTCAACGGAGATGTTCGAAAACCGAGGTACCACTGTACCAACAATGAACCAGGTAACCTGACAATAAACTATTGTTACATGGCAACGAAAGTTCAGAAACTGAGTTGAAAAAGTCAGTTACGATTACCATAATCGTGATAGTTGTTCTTAGCGTTTAAACACTGCAGCCTTGCTCAGCCTGGGGTCTTCCAGATGTTTTGAACTATAACTCCCATCAGATCCAGCTTAATTCATTTGCCTTCAGTCTGGGAAGAGTGGTACTGTAGAAGGACTTAACCGAAGGCAAGCAAAGTCAGCCCTGAGTGAGGGCAATGCTTCCTGAATCTCCAAATCTCTCCAAAATCTCTGTAGCCAGCAATGCTTTTCGCAGCAGACTTGTTTGCAGACAGTGCTCCTCTTCCTCATTTCTGCTTTCGTATTAACTCAGCCATCTACGCCACAGCCCTGTGTGTCAGGCCATTATTTATGAGACTGGTCTTGCAAAATAATAATAATAACGAGGGATGGAGGCTGAGGCAAAGAAAATGGTGGCTCGGCTGAGCCCCCCTCGTAAGATTATAACTGAGTCAGGATTTAGAATCATAGAATCATAGAATCCTAGAGTTGGAAGAGACCACAAGGGCCATCGAGTCCAACCCCCTGCCAAGCAGGAAACACCATCAGAGCACTCCTGACATATGGTTGTCAAGCCTCTGCTTAAAGACCTCCAAAGAAGGAGACTCCACCACACTCCTTGGCAGCAAATTCCACTGTCAAACAGCTCTTACTGTCAGGAAGTTCTTCCTAATGTTGAGGTGGAATCTTCTTTCTTGTAGTTTGGATCCATTGCTCCGTGTCCGCTTCTCTGGAGCAGCAGAAAACAACCTTTCTCCCTCCTCTATGTGACATCCTTTTATATATTTGAACATGGCTATCATATCACCCCTTAACCTCCTCTTCTCCAGGCTAAACATGCCCAGCTCTCTTAGCCGTTCCTCATAAGGCATCGTTTCCAGGCCTTTGACCATTTTGGTTGCCCTCCTCTGGACACGTTCCAGTTTGTCAGTGTCCTTCTTGAACTGTGGTGCCCAGAACTGGACACAGTACTCCAGGTGAGGTCTGACCAGAGCAGAATACAGTGGCACTATTACTTCCCTTGATCTAGATGCTATACTCCTATTGATGCAGCCCAGAATTGCAGAAGAACAATGACACACTGGAGTAATTTGTACGTTGCAACTGCAAACTTTCACCCAGCAATGAGATGCTTCTGGGACTAAGATGCCGGTTATGATGAAGCGAGGGGGGCCAGTCGAGTCTGGAATAGAGGGACGTACCGTATTTTTTGCTCTACAAGACTCACTTTTTCCCTCCTGAAAAGTAAGGGGAAATGTGTGTGCATCTTATGGAGCAAATGCAGGCTGCGCAGCTATCCCAGAAGCCAGAACAGCAAGAGGGATCGCTGCTTTCACTGCGCAGCGATCCCTCTTGCTGCTCTGGCTTCTGAGATTCAGAATATTTTTTTTTCTTGTTTTCCTCCTCCAAAAACTAGGTGCGTCTTATGGTCTGGTGTGTCTTATAGAGTGAAAAATACGGCACTTGTCTTGTTTTTCTTAAACATATGCAGCTGCTTGCAGAGCAAAGAGGGCCTTACAGAGTTTTCCATCTAAATTTAAGCAGTGTATTATGTGGGAAAGTCAGTAAAAGTTGGAGAGGAGGGCAGAGGGAAGGCTGAGCAGAGGGGAATGTGAGCACATCCAGTTACTTGCACTTCTTTTGGGATCCCAGTTGTAGGATCAAAGGCTCTCAGAAAATAAGAAGATAGGGCACATCAGAGAAACTACGCTTTGCATAGTGGTCTCGACCAGAGACAAGGGGGGGGGTTACCTTTGGGTTCCTAACATACCCCAGCTTACCTGCATACCCTTAAACTGTGCCAAGCAGTGCTGGATTTAGAGCGCTGTGGTTGGTTCCCCTGCACAGGGCACTGAGCCAACGGGGTTCAAAATTGGGAAGATCCATGATTGAGAAGATCCATTTGCGGGCAGCAAATGTTGGCCTCTCTCAGGGTGCCAGACTCCCAAAGTTTGCTCCTGGAGCCAAGGCCACCCAAACCTAGCGCAGAAATTATCAGCAGTGCTTCAGGAATTTGAGCTCTGTGAACTGAACGATGTAATCTGTATCTTATCGGCCAATGTATTTGATCGGGACGCAATTATTCTTTGGATTCGACAGTCCTTTGAATTTTGCGGTGTACGATTCTCGGACGAAAGAAATGTCTCATTTAGAATAAAACGGATTTCGACGGGCATGCCTTCAGATGAGGTGTGTTCCGAAACGCTCGTTTTGCGATAGAGCAAGTATTGGAATAAGTACAGTGGTACCTCGGGATGCGAACGGGATCCATTCCGGAGCCCCGTTCACATCCTGAATGTAACGTAAGACGCAGTGGCGCGCGTGCGGGTTGCGTTTTGCCGCTTCTGTGCATGCGCGTGACGTCATTTTGAGCATCTGTCCATGCACGAGCGGCAAAACCCGGAAGTAATACATTCCATTACTTCCGGGTTGCCGTACAGCGCAACCCAAAAGCGCTCAACCTGAAGCACATTCAACCCAAGGTAAATGAAAACAAGTATTTAAGGACGAATTTTCACGCTGATTTTTTAAAAAAACAAACCACCCCACAGGCAACTGTAAGAACAGAACAGGCCTATGAGCAAAAATGTGTGAAACCAGATCTCTCCATGGCAAGAAATTATGGTCAATATGGTCAAACCCGTGCTAAGGTGGGGTGTTTTATTGGGGGGAGGATACAAACTGGCTGGTGTTGTGCTCTCTCATCCAGATTCTGGAGCGTTGCAAGGGAGGCACCCCTGTGTACCAACGTTATGCTTTCCCTCCCCGTGCCCTAAGCCAGGAAGGAGATTCATCCTGGACTCCCATCTGCGTTTTGCAATCCCCGCGTATGTGCAGAGAGGGCGTGAGCCAGCCTACAACACCTGCGAGCGTGTTCCGCAGAAAGCCGGGGATCGCAGTTATGCTAATTAGAGTGTGAGCGTTTACACACACACACACACACACACACACACGGGCCTCTGCATTCCAGCAGTCGCCATCTGTTGAGCAAATACCCTGAGAATGGGGGCATCCAACTGAAGAAAGGGAAAGCAAAGGCAAGAGGAGGGGGGGTGTGCTGGCAGCCCTCGAAGCTGGGGGGTCGTCCTGGGAGTCACTGCGGCAGAGCTGCAAGCCGCCCCGTGGAACCTCCTCCTCCCCAGACCTTGCAGAGCGCAGAAGTCAGCCTCCAATGGGAGGGTTTGCAAGGGGGGAGCGGGCGAGGGGGAGACGAGAAGGGAGGACCAGAGTGGGAGGAGGGGTAGATTGCCCTGGGAAAATCGAGAAACAGCATCCAGGTTTTAGAGGCGATGGGGTGAGCGAGGCCTCCTAGGAGAAGGAAGGAGATTTAGCCTGCTGACGTCCCACCCCCCTCCCCACAAAATGGCCTGTCTTATAATAATAATAATTTATTATTTATACCCCGCCCATCTGGCTGGGTTTCCCCAGCCACTCTGGGCGGCTTCCAACAAAACCCTAAAATACAATAACCTATTAAACATGAAAAGCTTTCCTAAACAGGGCTGCCTTCAGATGTCTTCTAAAAACTTGGTAGTTATTTTTCTCTTTGACATCTGATGGGAGGGCGTTCCATAGGGCGGGTGCCACTACCGAGAAGGCCCTCTGCCTGGTTCCCTGTAGCTTGGCTTCTCGCAGCGAGGGAACTGCCAGAAGACCCTCGGAGATGGACCTCAGTGTCCGGGCAGAACGGACACTGCCTCCATCCTGGTCCTTGCCTGCTGGTAAAAGAGGAGTGTTAGGCGACCTGGCGTGCAGGGACGACGACTTAACATTTTCGTTCACTACCCCTTCACTCCCTTTCGCACAGTGCCCTTCAGGAAAGTTAGTCATCAGCCCAGTTGCTAATCCCTTGCAAATCAGCAAGGAGTGGTGAAATTGGATGGACCGGTTTTTGAGATGCTTCCGGCCTGGAGAGTGTGGCTTCCTTTGACCGCTTGGAGAGCTTGGAAGCAAATATGGTGCTGGTGAGTGTGAATTAAGCTCTGCCCCATGGGTAGGCAAACTAAGGCCCCGGGGCCAGATTCGGCCCAATTGCCTTCTAAATCCGGCCTGCGGACAGTCCGGGAATCAGCGTGTTTTTACATGAGTGGAATGTGTCCTTTGATTTCAAATGCATCTATGGGTTATTTGTGGGGCCTGCCTGGTGTTTTTACATGAGCAGAATGTGTGCTTTTATTTCAAATGCATCTCTGGGTTATTTGTGGGACATAGGAATTCGTTCACACCCCCCCCAAAAAAATAGTCCGCCCCCCACAAAGTCTGAGGGACAGTGGACTGGCCCCCTGCTGAAAAAGTTTGCTGACCCCTGCTCTACCCAACCTCTCTCCTTCTGTGGCACAAGCCGGCTACATCAGTTCTTCCAGGCAGGAAAAGTTCAAAACAACCATTTAATTTTTATTTTTTTTAAACCAGATTAAAACACCCATCCGCATTCATCGTACCTAGATAGGCTTGCCAAAAGAAAAAAATGTTTTCAGCAGGTGCTGGAAAGGTTTCGGTGAAGGTTCCTGCTTGAGATCAATTGGCAGGGAGTTCCAAAGTGTGAGTGGGGGTTCGCCCAGAGCTTTGAAGGCACCACCCATTGAGAGACCATCACCAGCTGAAGCCCACCCATTTTTTGAACCAGTCCCCCACCCTGTTCTTCTAACCACTAAGCATTGGTTTGTCCCCAGTGCTAGTCCTGCCCAGAGCAGACCCACTGAAATGAGCTTGGTCCATTCATTGCAATGGGTCTACTTTGAGCACGGCTTGTTTGGAGACAGCCCAGTATTCTCTTTGTCCGACCGGACATCCATAAACCTGTCTGCAGGCCTCCAGAGACAGGCCTGCTTACTCATGGCAGGAACAGAAAATAGCCGGCCCTCTCTGTGTGTGTGACCTCTCCTCTCATTCCAAGCTGAATAGTGACGTTCCGAGGGTCAAGGGGTCGGCGCCTAAATGGGAAGAGGAGGGGCAGCTTGCTTTTTGCAAAGCGAAATGCAGGGGGGAGGGGGGTGTTTCTTCCTGCCCACCAGCGACTTGATCAGCCGACATTTTTGCCCGACATTCCATTCCTTCTCTGGTTCAATCAGCTTCTGTGGCTGCGCATGGGAAGTTGCAGGGGGACAGATGCATGCAACAAAAGCCACACACAAACACCAGCCCCAGCTTAAGTAGCAATGGGTTTAATAATAATAATAATAATAATAATAATAATAATATGCCACCTTTCGCCAGAAAACTGCAGCATGCAAGACCGATTTCACAACGTAACGTCTATGTAACATCCAACTCAAAATAATTATACAAATGCAATTATTTTAAGGAATGCATAAAAAGGTAAAGGGACCCCTGACCATTAGGTCCAGTCGTGGCCGACTCTGGGGTTGCGGCGCTCATCTCGCTTTATTGGCCGAGGGAGCCGGTGTACAGCTTCCGGGTCACGTGGCCAGCATGACTAAGCCACTTCTGGCGAACCAGAGCATCGCACGGAAACGCTGTTTACTTTCCCGCCGGAGTGGTACCTATTCATCTACTTGCACTTTGATATGCTTTCGAACTGCTGGGTTGGCAGGAGCTGGGACTGAGCAACGGGAGCTCACCCTGTCGTGGGGATTCGACCTGCCAACCTTCTGATCAGCAAGCCCTAGGCTCAGTGGTTTAACCCACAGCGCCACCCACATCCCAAGGAATGTGTAATGAAACGCAAATTCTCATAAAAGCAACAGCATAAATAGACGAGAAAATCAGCAGCAGGGTATCTAAACTACAAAGACAGCCCACAGATGCAGAATCTTTTGTCAAAGGTAGCTCTTGATCCTAGCTACCTATAGAAAATGACAGAGTCTCCTATCTCTCGCCTGAGGGCTTTCCTTTCCTCTCCTAGTCTCTAGTGTTTCCCTAGTGTTTCCGTGCGCTGCTCTGGTTCGCCAGAAGCAGCTTAGTCATGCTGGCCACATGACCCGGAAGCTGTACGCCGGCTCCCTCGGCCAATAAAGCGAGATGAGCACCGCAACCCCAGAGTCGGCCACGACTGGACCTAATGGTCAGGGGTCCCTTTACCTTTACCTAAATTTAGGAACCGTTTTGCAACTCAGAAGTGTGTTCCTCTGGATTCCATGGGACTTACCCCGAGGTAAGTGTGTGCTAGCGTTGCAGCCTTGATTGCATTGTGTGTGCAAATACGACCCGCGCATCCATGTATGCGCTTGTGCCAATGTATATACGATGAAAAGGAAGAGTGCGGGAGTGAAATTGACTAGACCGGAAGCGCCTCAATATCTGGTCTAGTCAATTTCTGCACTCCGCTGATTTGCAAGGGATTGGCATCTTGACAGATAAACTAACTTTTCTGAAGGGCCGCTGTGAGGAAGAGAGTGAGAGTTAGTGGGCCAGTCTGGGCCGCCCCACACATGAGGCAAGGTGAGGCAACTGCCTTGGGCGGCAAGTCCACTGGAGCAGCAGATTCTGGTGTCAATCTTTCTTCTCCCCCCAACACCTTGTTCCTATGCGGAGCTTCCCTGCCCCCTTCTTCCTTGGTGGGGACGGGGGCACCACTTTGGGGTTCCTCTCGGGTATATTGGGCTGGTCCTGGGACCTGGGTCTTACCTCCTACTCCCTTCTCCACACCAGACTTTTGCATCCAGGTTAGCGACAGATCTGAGATCAGGTAGCATCTCTCAGTGGGGTTGGTTTGGGCCTAGTGCAGGGGTCAGCAAACTTTTTCAGCAGGGGGCCAGTCCACTGCCCCTCAGACCTTGTGGGGGGCCAGACTATGTTTTTTTTGGGGGGGGAATGAACCAATTCTTGTGCCCCACAAATAACCCAGAGATGCATTTTAAATAAAAGCACGCAGTCTACTCTTGCAAAAACACCAGGCAGGCCCCACAAAGAACCCAGAGATGCATTTTAAATAAAAGGACACATTCTACTCATGTAAAAACATGCTGATTCCTGGACCGCCTGCGGGCCGGATTGAGAAGACGATTGGGCCAGATCTGGCCCCCAGGCCTTAGTTTGCCTACCCATGGCCTGGTGGCTTCCAGGTGCCAACTCTTAGAGGAGGGGAATAAATTCAGACCCTCCAAGTGTCCCTATTTTCCAGGGACGCCCCTGATTTAGAGAAGCCATCCTGGTTTCTGATTCAATCCCGGGAGCCAGTGTGGTGTAGTGGTTAAGAGCGGTAGTCTCGTAATCTGGTGAACCGGGTTCGAGTCTCCGCTCCTCCACCTGCAGCTGCTGGGTGACCTTGGGCCAGTCACACTTCTTTGGAGTCTCTCAGCCCCACTCACCTCACAGAGTGTTTGTTGTGGGGAGGAAGGGAAAGGAGAATGTTAGCTGCTTTGAGACTCCTTAAAGGGAGTGAAAGGCGGGATATCACATCCAAACTCTTCTTCTTCTTCTTCTTCCTGCTTTTCCTTTGGATTTCCCTGTTTTCATTGGAGAAATGTTGGAGGGTATGGAGTTATCCTGTACAGGGAAGGGTTTTTTATGTTTCGTTTTGTTTTAATGGAAGGGACGCGGGTGGCGCTGTGGGTAAAACCTCAGCGCCTAGGACTTGCCGATCACATGGTCGGCAGTTCGAATCCCCGCAGCGGGGTGCACTCCCGTCGTTCGGTCCCAGCGCCTGCCAACCTAGCAGTTCGAAAGCACCCCCGGGTGCAAGTAGATAAATAGGGACCGCTTACCAGCGGGAAGGTAAACGGCGTTCCGTGTGCTGCGCTGGCTCGCCAGATGCAGCTTGTCACGCTGGCCACGTGACCCGGAAGTGTCTGCGGACAGCGCTGGCTCCCGGCCTATAGAGTGAGATGAGCGCACAACCCTAGAGTCTGGCAAGACTGGCCCGAACAGGCAGGGGTACCTTTACCTTTTACCTTTGTTTTAATGTTTTTATGTCTGTTGAAAGCTGCCCAGAATGGCTAGGGCAACCCAATCAGATGTGTGGGGTATAAATAGTAAAATTATCATTATGGAATGAGACGTCCCTATTTTCATCAGAGAAATGTTGGAGGGTATGTAAATTAGGGGTGAGGGGAGAAATTAGAGGGATTTTCCTCTGAGATCAGGCTCCTTTATCCCATTATAAATAATAATTATAGCAATGTGTTTACACAACTACCATATTTTTCGCTCTATAGGACGCACTTTTTCCCCTCCAAAAATTAAGGGGAAATGTGTGTGCGTCCTATGGAGCGAATGCAGGCTCCTTGGCTTCAGCGATAGCAACACGAAGCCTCCGAAGTGCAGAGGGAGAGCTCCCTACGTGTTCTGGAGGCTTCGTGTTGCTTTCACTGAAGCCTTTGGAGCGCAGCGGGACCTCGCGCTGCACTCCAAAGGCTTCGGGTTCCTTTTGCTGAAGCCGGGAGAGCAAGACTCTCCCAGCTTCAGCAGAGAGGGAGAGCTGCGCAGCGCCCCTTCAGCCAAGCGGGAGGAGAAATGGAAGGGGCTCCGTTTCTCCTGCCGCTTCGCTGAAGGGGCACTGAGCAGAGAGGGGGAGATTTTTTTTTTCCTGTTCTCCCCCTCCTATGGTCCGGTGCATCCTATGGTCCGGTGTGTCCTATAGAGCGAAAAATACGGAAGGTTAGGCTGGGATCTGTGTCCCTGTGGTGCTAAAGGGTACTTTACTCATTTGTATTTGTGTAGTGGATAAGGAAACTCTGGATGATCAGGGAAGGCCTGGGCTAAAGTCCTACCTCTTTCCACATCCGGTTCCACTGGAAAGCCGCCATTTCTAAGCCTCGGTTTTCCCTATCTGTGAAATGGGGGAATACTGCAGTGAGGACACATGAGAGAGCTACGTTTTTATCTTAGGACTGCAACCTTTCACTAATAGGTTAGTCAACAAAATCTTTTTGTAATTTGATTAGTGCTGGCTAAGCAAAAGAGTCAAAGGCGCATTATAATTCTGGCTTAGGACGTTAAGACACCTGCTTGTTTATGTTTTGAGACTAGTTCTTGTATGTGACCAACAACGGGGAATGGGAAAGTAGAAAAATCAAAGCCTTCTCTTTCCTGAAACAAGGAGCAGCAGCTTTCATTTATTAAATTGCAAATCATTTCAAAATGGGATCTATTTTTGGTAATGTGCACATTTATTTCAACTTAATTAGATAAAAGACAGACAATTAATCAAATAAGCACCCGGAATACAAAAGCTTGTTTTTTTCTAGGTTCAGATATTGTGTTTCTTCATTTAGGAAGAGCGTGCACTGTCTGTTCTGTGGCAGAATACAGAAGTGAGAGCCTCGTTGAAGCACTCTGTTTCCCCAACCCCCGCTCTGCCTAGTCTAATCATAAACCATAAATCCACGTATAATGTGGTAAGCAGACAAGAAAGGTGTAGAAGGGTGCTGCCTGACCTTATCCAAGTCCCTAATCCTGTGATCTGTAAAAAAAAATATAAAAATAAAATGATGACAGTGCTCACTTTGCCCAAATTTCTTTTGGTGAGGCTCTGTTGCCGTTGTGCAAATCTCACTGCAGTGACGTTGCTGCAGCCTTTTTATTTTGGAATTTTGGCTTTTGGGTTTGCCTGGAAAAGCTTGACCTCCCGACTGCATCTGCACCTCGCCCTTCTGGTTTTGTTCTTTCGCAAAGATCTGCTGCAGTTTTTGCAAAGAACTGTCCTTGCGCACCCCTCCGCAAGCAGAGTTCTGGAAACAGAGGGCAATGGGTTTTACTTTTTGCATTTTTGGGGGGGGGGGGAGAGCGGGAGAGGGGAGGAAAGCAGGGTGGGGCTGTTGATCAAGTGGGGACACGGGTGATGGCTGCTGGAAGCCCCCGACAGCAGCGCTTTCTCTGATGCATAATTTACTTCCCCCTCCAGGCAGGGCTTTTAAGCTGCCTTTTAGCCGGAGGATATAAAAGCATGACAGCTGTTCCATTGGGCTAGGATTGGGCGGGTGTAGGGGGGAAAGAGACGGGATTTTATGTTTGTTAGGCGAGGCTTGTGTGCAAAGGGAGGCGGGGAGCGTGTGATAGCAGGGGGTTCCACACTGCAGGCCCCTCTCTCCTTTCCTTAGGCATTGACAGGAGGAAGGAAGTTCTATCTTCAATTTTCTGAGAGCCCCGCTAGGAAAGGAGGTTGACTCAAAACGGCCAGAAGTCAGTGAGGTTTTTCCTTGTAAATTCTGCTTCTGTGTGGGATAAGAAACCTTATTTTATTAGCTTTTAAATCTTGCCTTTCGCCCCCAAGAGCTCAAGGTGTTGTCCTTCCTTTTTTAATAACCCCGACGACGACAACCCTGTAAGGTAGGCTAGGCTGAGAACGTGATTGATGGGCCTAAGGCAGTGGTTCTGAAACTTTTTTATCTGGGCCATGTTTTCAGAAGAAGAAGGAAGGCTCGCTCCACACAGAATTTCTTATTATTGAGAAATACATTGGAAAATGAAAGGGAACGGCTCCTAGTCGTGCTTGATTTATAACAAAGAACACAACTATGTGGGAGCCAGTGTGGTGTAGTGGTTAAGAGCGGTGGACTCGTAATCTGGTGAACCGGGTTCGCTTCCCCGCTCCTCCACATGCAGCTGCTGGGTGACCTTGGGCCAGTCACACTTCTCTGAAGTCTCTCAGCCCCACTCACCCCACAGAGTGTTTGTTGTGGGGGAGGAAGGGAAAAGGAGATTGTGAGCCGCTTTGAGACTCCTGAAGGGGAGTGATAAAGTGGGATATCAAATCCAAACTCTCTAACTACTTTATAATATGACCATGGGGCACCCAAAAAGTATAAACGCAGCTACATAATAACACAAATCATTGCCAAAATATAATTATAAATGAGGTTTCTCCAAGGTTGTGACTTTGCAGCTAAGATTGTCCTTGATCCTTTTGATCTCATTTTGAAAACACATCTATCCATATTCTGCAAATAATTTTCCCCCTCTATACCACACTGAAATGTTTAAGTGTTTCTTCAATGATCCTTGAACCTTCCTGCCACACTTGCTCTCCTCTCCTGCCACATCAGTGTGGCGCACCACACCCTTGAGAACCACTGGCCTATGGTCACTCAGTGAGCATCAGGGCTGAGCGGGGCCTTCTGCCTGGTTCTTCCTGGTCCTAAAGCAACACTCCAACCACTGAACCACACTGCCTCATCTTCAGAACCATTCATGGTTATGCAGAGGCGGTTTTAGGGAAGTGCGACCGGGTGCCGCCCTGCAGGGAGCGCCGAAACAATACTGTAGAACAGAGTGTGAGAGGCAGGGGGCACCGAATTTTTACGTCACTGAAATTTCAGAGCCCAAAGTCTGCCACTGAATTATGGGACGTATTTCAAATAAACTCAGCACAGCATGTTCTTCCTTAGTAATCCGCCATCCCTGAGAGAGAGAGACTGAGAGTGCCTTGCCTAAGCCCACTCAGTGAGGTGAGATTTAAAATGGGTGGGACTTCCAAGTCCTTTGCCTCCTCATGATATTAAAACTTGTTACAGTGGTGCCTCTGGTTGCGAACGGGATCCGTTCTGCGGCGCGTCTGCACATGTGTGGGTTGTGATTTGTCGCTTCTGCGCATGCGCATGATGTCATTATGCACGTCTGCGCATGCGCGAGCAGTGAAACCCGGAAGTAACCCTTTCCGGTACTTCCGGGTCACTGTGGGATGTATCCTGAAAGAACGTAACATGAAGCAAACGTAACATGAGGTATGACTGTACAATGGTACCTCAAGTTACAGACGCTTCAGGTTACAGACTCCGCTAACCCAGAAATAGTACCTCGGGTTAAGAAATTTGCTTCAGGATGAGAACCGAAATTGCGTGGCGGTGGCAGCAGCAGCAGCAGGAGGCCCCATTAGCTAAAGTGGTACCTCAAGTTAAGAACAGCTTCAGGTTAAGAACGGACCTCCAGAACGAATTAAGTTCTTAACCCGAGGTACCACTGTATATGTTATACAGAAAGATCTCCAAGCCTATTTAAAAACATAAGCATAAGTTATAACATACATTACAGCATACATTATAAAGCAACTATGTAGGACGTTGGCATGTGTCTTAATCTTCTTGTTGTTGTTTAAAGGCTTTAAAATGCTGGTTTTTTATTGATAATTTCATTGATTAATTCTTCTTGTAAACTGTTTTGAGAGTTTTGGGACTTTTCAGTCCAACGGGATATGAATTCTATGAATTAATCGAACAAACAAACAGAGGTACAGAGAAACGCGCGCAGTTCATAAGAAAGAAATACACAAGGCACACACACCTGGCCCCAAATAAAGGTGCCTCCGCCAAGATGTTTGCTGTTGATTTAGGGCGATTGATCATAATTTTCTTTCCACTAAGATAAATCCCAGAGCAGGGTTACAGCCTAAAAAGTATAGAATAAAATGAAACAATCAGGGGTGGGGAATCCAACCACCACAGTAACCAACTCAAACATCCCATCCCAGCACTGCAAGAGTGACGTTGCTGGACTCCATCTCCCAGCAGCACCAGCCAGCATGGCTAATGGTCAGGGGTGATGAGAGATACAACGGCATCGGCAAAGTGCCACAGGTTCACCACCTCCGAGGCTGGTTAATTATCTGATATCTGGAATGGGTCATTATCTGGTGCCTCCCTGTGGAATCTGATGGCTAATCTTTGGCCTCCCAGTTATTGCTGGACCACAGGCTCCCAATATCGCTAACCACTAGCCATGCTGGCTAGAGCGGTTGGGAGTCCAACCATGTCTGGAGGAGCCTTAGGTTCCCTTCCCTGTCTTGTCTACTTGCGAGCGGAGGAGATGTCTGTGGCCAAGTATAGAATCGTAGAGTTGTAGGGACCCTGGGGGTCATTCAGTCCAGCCCCCTCCAATGCAGGAATCTTGGCTAAAGCATCCATGACAGATGTCTGTCTAAACCTTAAAAACCTCTAAGGAAGGAGGGTCCACAGCCTTCCAAGATAGTCCGTCCCACTGTCCAACAGCTCCTACTGTCAGAAAGTACTTCCTAGTGTTTAGTTGGAATCTTCCATGTGATTTGTTGTTATTTAGTCATTTAGTCGTGTCCGACTCTTTGTGACCCCATGGACCAGAGCACGCCAGGCACTCCTGTCTTCCACTGCCTCCCACAGTTTGGTCAGCTTCGAGAACACTGTCCAACCATCTCATCCTCCGTCGTCCCCTTCTCCTTGTGCCCTCCATCTTTCCCAACATCAGGGTCTTTTCCAGGGAGTCTTCTCTTCTCATGAGGTGGCCAAAGTACTGGAACCTCAGCTTCAGGATCTGTCCTTCCAGTGAGCACTCAGGGCTGATTTCCTGAAGAATGGATAGGCCTGATCTTCTTGCAGTCCATGGGACTCTCAAGAGTCTCCTCCACCACCATAATCCAAAAGCATCCATTCTTCGGCGATCAGCCTTCTTCATGGTCCAGCTCTCACTTCCATACATCCATGTGATAGCCTTTAGCTATTGGAAGATGGCCATCATATCTCCTCTTTTTGAGGCTAAACATACCCAGCTTTTTCAACCATTCCTCATAAGGCTAGGCTTCTAGACCCTTGATCGTGTACGCCATTTCTCTCTCCTTTTGTGTTGATCCAGTGGACGTGTTACGGGCCCTGACTGATCACCCTGTGACAGCCGGCTCTGCCTCAAGGACAGAGGCAGCCCATCTTAAATTGACGGATCGTCTGTCTGCTTTATCCCTCTTAACTCTCTGCTGTTTGCTCTGACTGATGAGGGCTCTCCAGACCAGTGCTGACATCTAGAGAGGCTACAGCTTGAACCAGCCACTTTTTGCATGCAAGACACGTTCTCTACCATGACTGCTAGGTAAAGGGTAAAGGGACCCCTGACCATTAGGTCCAGTCATGACCAACTCTGGGGTTGTGACTCTCATCTCGCTTTATTGGCCGAGAGAGCCGGCATACAGCTTCCAGGTCATGTGGCCAGCATGACTAAGCCGCTTCTGGCGAACCAGAGCAGCGCATGGAAACGCCGTTTACCTTCCCGCCAGAGCAGTACCTATTTATCTACTTGCACTTTGATGTGCTTTCGAACTGCTAGGTTGGCAGGAACAGCAACTGAGCAACGGGAGCTCATGCTGTTGCGGGGATTCGAACTGCCGACCTTCTGATTGGCAAGTCCTAGGCTCTGTGGTTTAACCCACAGGGCCATCCGTGTCCCTCCACCATGACTGCTAATGCCCGCCTAATGGACAGCTTAGCCGGTCATGTATGGTGGCCAGATCCGAGGAACACCTGCTAACCAGGAAACAAAAGAGAGTACAGTGGTGCCCCGCAAGACGAATGCCTCGCAAGACGAAAAACCCGCTAGACGAAAGGGTTTTCCGTTTTTCAATGCGCTTCGCAACACGAATTTCCCTATGGGCTTGCTTCGCAAGACGACAACGTCTTGTGAGTCTTGCGATTTTTTTCGCTTTTTACCCCCTTTTTCTAAGCTGCTAAGACGCTAATAGCCTTTTAGCCGCTAAGCCGCTAAGCCTTTAATAGCCGCTAAACCGCTAATAGCGCTAATCCGCTAAGCCGCTAATAGGGTTGCTTCGCAAGACGAAAAAACCGCTAGACGAAGAGACTCACGGAACGGATTATTTTCGTCTTGCGAGGCACCACTGTAGTCCTTTTCACAGTTAAACTATGGAACTCACTCCCACAAGAGCCAGGGTGGCCACCAACGTGAATAGTTTCAAAAGGGGATTCGACAAATTCACGGAGGATAAATGATCAATTTACGATGGCTGTTCCTGCCCCCAAATAACACACTCAGTCCCCACAGGGCTAGTTCAGATGTGTTCCCGGCACAATTTGCTTTTAGCTTCTGGTTTAGAAATCAAGGACTGTATGCCAAGATATTTAAAAAGACTTCCATGCCAGATGCAGGGACAAATATAGGACATATATTACCTTTATATTCTGTTCATGAATGCCCGATCGTGTCTGTCTGGTTGCTGTGTGTAGCAGTATTCTAAACCATATGGATCCATCAAAGCAATTCATATCCATAACCTCCTTCCTGCTCTTACAGCTGCGATGTAGCAGCTGGGTCTGTAATGTTCAGCCAGCTATGCGCGTGAGCGGGTCAAAGTGAGTAGAGGGAGAAGGGGAAACTATCTAGAGGCTCACTATTCTTAAAGACACTGATTTCATCACAGATTTCAGTTTACAACAGTCCTCCCAAGGGTGAAATTCCACCACTAGCCTCTAGAGGGCCTCTAGCATTCGACGCTTGATACCATGTCTCCCTCTAGTGGCCACATGTGGTATGACTCCAAAACCTCTTTCTAACTGAACCAAGCAGATTTAGTCCCATACCAGGTACAAACTTTCTGGGCCTCTTTCTCCGACCATCTTTCTCAAAGGGTTTTCTCTCTCCATTTCTGCTTCTTTTTTCCTCGCAGGGGACTGTCTAGACAACAGCGTGGCCTCCCCAAGCACGGGAGATGACGACGACTTAGACCGAGACAAAAAACGGAACAAGAAAAGAGGGATCTTCCCCAAAGTGGCCACAAACATTATGCGTGCGTGGCTATTCCAACACTTGTCGGTAAGAACGTGGATCTTTGTGGAGGGAAAGGGTAGGAGAGAAGGGAAGTCGCCAGGATCATAGAGAATTGCCTTATACGGAATCAAACCATTAGTCCATCTGGCTCAACAGTGCCCCTACTGGCCGAGTCTCTCCAGCATTTTGTGCAAGGGGGATATTCCCAGTTTTACCTGGAAAAGCTGGGACTGGAACCCCAGGACCTCTTCAAAACCAAGGGTTCCTGCGTCTTATTCTCAGCTACGCAGGGAAGAATTGGGAATGGGGGGCCGGACAATTTGAACAAGGGTTGATGGGAGTTTCCTGAAGCTTCCTGGAGTACGGAACAGGTCAGATATGCGAAAACAGCATACAGTGGTACCTCTGGTTAAGCACCACTTTAGCTAATGGGGCCTCCTGCTGCCGCTGTGCCGCCGGAGCAGAATTTCTGTTCTCATCCTGAAGCAAAGTTCTTAACCTGAAGCACTATTTCTGTGTTAGCGGAGTCTGTGGTACCTCGGGTTACATACGCTTCAGGTTACAGATGTTGGGATACTGCCAGGGAGATAAAGTCCATCAAGGCCCCCAAGCCGTCTGCCGGACGATCCATCGACCTCCCGTAGGCACGCAGCGACATGAGTTTCTAGAAAATATCTTGCCACATTCCAGAGCTCATGCACACTATCAGCAGATAATGCACAGCCAAAAGTTGCAGTCAGGAGAGCATTATTTACAAGTTTATTCAGCGTTGATCAGAACACAGAAAAACATGACTGACTGCTTTAAGTGTCTGCGACACAGAGAGAGAAAACGAAAGCAACATAAAACATAAACATCCTGTGAACAGGAAATACGCAGACTCTGACTCACAAAGCCTGCTCCCTTTTAAGGTGGAACGGAAATATCCTAACAACAGACGCTTCAGGTTACAGACTCCGCTAACCCAGAAATATTACCTCGGCTTAAGAACTTTGCTTCAGGATGAGAACAGAAATCGTGCGGCGGCAGCAGGAGACCCCATTAGCTAAAGTGGTGCTTCAGGTTAAGAACAGTTTCAGGTTAAGAACAGACCCCCGGAACGAATTACGTACTTAACCCGAGGTACCACTGTATTCTGTCTCTAGGACTGGGGAACCCGTGACCCTCCAAATGGACTCCAAATCCCATCAGCCAGCATGGCCAGCAGTCACAAATGATGGGAGTCGTAGTCCAACAAGTATGTGGAGGGCCAGTTTTCCCTCTCCCAAATTAACCCTGTTTCAAACCCTTACGTTGGCTCAAGGGATCACGGACACTTGTTTTCTGAAGCAGCAAGGAGCATTTAACAGAAAGGTCCTAGCACGAGGCCTCTATTTTTCGCAACACCCTCTTCAGAGAGGACCCTCTCTCCCTGATCCCCTTGTCTTTTTGGTGAGCAGCAGCAAAGACCCAGGTGATCTTAACGCAGGACTTTGGAGTAGAAGAGAAGCAGAGGCTGTGTGCTTCTTGTTGCTTACCTCTGTCTCCCCAGCGGTTAGCTGTTTCTCTCCCCCACCTCCCAGAGCTGGGTTGAGCTTGTATTTTAAATGGTTTTATCACGAGAGCATTTATTTATTTATTGCAGTTATTCATATCCTGCCCCTCAGGATACAAACCTTTCTAAGTTGGCTTACACAAGTGAGATTGAACTACAGTACATTTACACAAACACACACACACCACAATATGCATTATCAAGGTACAAACAATATTGTATATCATCAGGATCAATATCAATATCATCAGGATGCTTTCCACAGGGCAGTTTGCAAGTAGGGTGGCCTGGTATATAACAGTAATGGTAATAGTAATAGTAACAATAGTAATAGTAATAATAATAGTAATAATAATAATAATAGTAATAATAAATTTATTTATACATACATACATACATACATACATACATAGGGACACGGGTGGCGCTGTGGGTTAAACCACGGGTGGCGCTGTGGGTTAAACAGAGCCTAGGACTTGCTGATCAGAAGGTCGGCGGTTCAAATCCCTGCGACAGGGTGAGCTCCCATTGTTCAGTGCCACCTCCTGCCAACCTAGCAGTTTGAAAGCACGTCAAAGTGCAAGGAGATAAATAGGTACCGCTCCAGCAGGAAGGTAAACGGCATTTCTGTGCGCTGCTCTGGTTCGCCAGAAGCAGCTTAGTCATGCTGGCCACATGACCCAGAAGCTCACCCCGTCCCGGGAGCTCACCCCGTCATGGGGATTCGAACCGCCAACCTTCTGACTGGCAAGTCCTAGGCTCTGTGGTTTAACCAACAGCACCACCCACGTCCCATTTTTCCTTGTTGTTGTTGTTGAGTCGTTTAGTCATGTCCGACTCTTCGTGACCCCACAGACCAGAGCACGCCAGGCCCTCCTGTCTTCCACTGCCTCCCACAGTTTGGTCAAACTCATGCTGGTAGCTTCGAGAACACTGTCCAACCATCTCATCCTCTGTCGTCCCCTTCTCCTTGTGCCCTCCATCTTTCCCAACATCAGGGTCTTTTCCAGGGAGTCTTCTCTTCTCATGAGGTGGCCAAAGTCTTGGAGCCTCAGCTTCAGGATCTGTCCTTCCAGTGAGCACTCAGGGCTGATTTCCTTCAGAATGGATCGGTTTGATCTTCTTGCAGTCCATGGGACTTTTTCCTTAGGATGTCCCTATTTTCATCGGAGAAATGTTGGAGGGTATGGAAGAGCAGAGGTAGCTCTCTTAATTCTGGGGACAGCCCTGCAGTGAGAGCCCACCCCTCACACCAACGTGCTTGACCCAGGTGTTTTCTTCAACAACAAGGCATGTGGACCACCCATTGTTAAAATCGGCCCAAAGCTGGCCTTAATAAAGGACGATGTTTCAGCCATGCCGCTGATCATTTCTGCCCACGGCGCCGTTTTCTGCCAACGCAGGCTGAGTTTGGGGAATTTCTGGCTCCCTGCTTGCGGCCCCTTTTGAACTGGCAAGCGAGCGGCTTGCTAGCTAACAGTGGGCATCTTTCCATGCCCGCCACCCAGACTCCCTTCCCCTTCCCCTCCTCGCTCGCCACCAAGCTGCCAGGCAATTAGGCAGGGCCTCTCCCTGGTTAGTTAAACAAAGGCGAGTTAATGAGCGCTGGCCAATTAGTGGCTAATTGAAGGAGCTATAAAGCTATTAGAGGCTGGTGAAGGGTAATCAATTCTAGCCAATTACCCTGAACGCATTGGCAGGGAGTGAGGTGGGAGGGGGGCTTCCAAGGCTAAGTGGCTACGGCTAAGCTGGGCCCAGCCTGGCTCTAGTGGGCTAGGGAGCAAGCAAATTGGAACTGGGGCAGGGGGAAGCCTCGTCTTCCTCACCATGCGCTATCTAGTTTGTTTTCGTATTTGCTGCTTAGATTTTAAGCCCAACCTTGCCCCAAGGAGTGGAAGCATATGTGGTTCACAAACACACACAAACACACACTTTATCCTCACAACCTGTGAGATAGTGACTGGCCCAAGGTGACCCTCTGAACAGAATACAAGGGTACCTCGGGTTAAGTACTTAATTCATTCCGGAGGTCCGTACGTGACCTGAAACTGTTCTTAACCTGAAGCACCACTTTAGCTAATGGGGCCTGCTGCTGCTGCTGCCGCCGCGCTGCTGGAGCACGATTTCTGTTCTCATCCTGAAGCAAAGTTTTTAACCTGAAGCACTATTTCTGGGTTAGCGGAGTCTGTAACCTGAAGCGTATGTAACCTGAGAGGTACCACTGTACGGGCTTGAAGCCTGATCTCCAAACTCCTAATCTGACGCTGTAACCACTACACCTGAGTCAGGGAGCCTTTTTCAGCTTGAGGACACGAGGGCTGGGCAGGGCCAGGACCAAATCAGAGTGGGTCCAAATGTAAAAGAGGAACGATGGACCCTCCAAGTGTCCCTGTTTTCCAGGGACGTCTCTGATTTAGAGAAGCCGTCCTGGTTTCTGATTTGATCCCATTTTTCCTTAGGATGCCCCTATTTTCATTGGAAAAATATTGGAGGGTATGGGGTTATCTGACCCCCCAGAGCCATCTGAAGCCAGCCTTGTACATTTTTAAAATGTTTAACGTTTTATTCTGTTTTTATATATGTTGGAAGCTGCCCACAGTGACTGGGAAAGCCCATTAAGATGTCTGAGGTAGAAATAGTAAAATTAGCATTATGGAATGGGACGTCCCTATTTTCATCGGAGAAATGTTGGAGGGTATGGGATGATGATGATGATGATGATTTTGCTTCATCTTCACCATAAAGTCCCAAACAGGTTGCAATTGTTTAAAGTACTATTTAAAAATACAGCCATACCTCATGTTACGTTTACTTCAGGTTGAGCGTTTTCAGGTTGCGTCCCGCGGCAACCCGGAAGTACCGGAAAGGGTTACTTCTGGGTTTCGCCGCTCGCGCATGCGCAGATGCGCAAAACGACATCACGCGCATGCGCAGAAGCGGCGAATCCCGGCACGCACAGACGCGGGTTGCGTTCCTTTCAGGTTGTGAACGGAATGGATCCCGTTTGCAACCAGAGGTACCACTGTAGTTGAACCAACTTACAGTCAATATAATAGCACGGATCCTAATACACACACACACACACACACACACACACACACACAAACATGGTTTCACAAAGGCCCAGAGTAGAGAAACACACAATAACAGTGCACAACCTAGGAGTTGCCACAGAGAGTGCCCCCTCCTGCGTCTCTCACACACAGAACTTCTGATAGTGGTGGTCCTACCAAGTTCTTTTATTTACTTTATTTTTATTTGTTAGATTTATATACCGCCCTTCATCAAAAGATCTCAGGGCGGTTCTTAACTGCTGATCTTTACATGCCCTCCAACACCCTGAAGGTGAAAACCGTGGCGTCATCTTCTTGGGCGCCATCTTCCTGTTTTTTCCTGCGAGAGAACGGCGGCCATGTTGGGCGCTGTGATCTCACACAGTTTTGTGCTGCGATTTCCCCCTGAAATTAAAAAAAAAACTGTTTCTTTGGGGCACAGTGGCCTAAAATGTGCATTTTTGGGTGCTATGCGAAATCGTTGCCCTGAGAAAACTCCCCCTTCCCTTGGGATGTGGCCAGTGTCATCTATGTAAGTAAAGAGGATGGCTAAGAAAGGTGCCCACCAATCCACCTGTGCTTTTATCATTTCTGGCGTAATGCCGTCTAGGCCTGGGGCTTTGGCGATTTTCAGTTGTTTTATATATGATTTCACTTCAGTTACTGAAACTGGCGGCCATTTAGCCAGTTGTTCTATATTATAATTCCGTAACAGAGGTTCAGCGTCCTCATACAAAGATTGAAAGAATGAGACCCAAAGGTTAGGGGGAATTTGTGAGGTTAAGGGGGAAATAGCCTTATGGGTGCCGGAAGCTTATCTTAAAGTTTAAGCGTCTATACGCTTATCACATTTATAAATTTTAAATTTATTGTTGTACATTGTTTTAAATGTTTGTTTTCCTTCTGGGATTGTACCCCCAAGTGTGTTTTATAAGCTGGTCTCCGACCGTAATAAATTATCTATCTATCTATCTCCCCCCTCCCAAGAAAAAATGTGGTACGAAATCTCACGAGATCATGGCACCCAAAATGTCTGCCATTCTCTCGCGGAAAAAAATGGGATGTCCCAGTTTTCCTGGGACACTTGTGACTCTTTTCACCCAAGAGTGTCTATAGGGAAGGAGGCAGTCTTTCTGATACACAGAGTTCCCCAGAGGTCTCCCAATCTGGTGCTAGCCAGGCCAAGTTCTGCTTAACTTCATCAAGGTTCCTGCATCCTAAGCTTTCAGCCTCTGGACTTTTTCTTTTCTTCTGGATATTTATAAGTCACATCCCAGGGCAAATCTCCCAAGGTGGCCGACATCAGAACAACATCCCATCGGTCATCCAAAATCAATAAAGCTGCAATCCGGAACTAAGAACAGTTTAAAAATAAATTAAACTTTACAGCATTAAAAGGCAGCCGTTAACGCAATAGTTAGTGCCATGTTTTGAACAGCAGCTTGGAAAAAAAAAAGATTTTCGGGAGATGAGGAAGCTTTAGCCTTTCAAGAGGATGTTGGACTACCGATCCCATAATCCATGACCATTGGCTGTGCTGGCAAGGGCTGATGGGAATTGGAGTCCAAAGACACCAGAAGGGACATAGGTTCCCCCGCGCTGGGTTTTCAGGGTCCAGCAAAGCAGTGCCATGTAAATCTCCCTAGGGAGAGAGTTCCACAGATAGGGGGCCATCCATGCTGAAAAAGGCCCCGTCAACTCGTGGGAGAATATATGGTGAGTTCACATGGATTGGGAGCTAAGCCTACTTTCCCCATCCTGACTTCAGGTACTGATAATGAAACCTGATCTGTTGTTGTTGAGTCGTTTAGTCGTGTCCGACTCTTCGTGACCCCCTGGACCAGAGCACGCTAGGCACTCCTGTCTTCCACTGCCTCCCGCAGTTTGATCAAACTCATGCTGGTATCTTCGAGAACACTATCCAACCATCTAATCCTCCGTCATCCCCTTCTCCTTGTGCCCTCCATCTTTCCCAGCATCAGGGTCTTTTCCAAGGAGTCTTCTCTTCTCATGAGGTGGCCAAAGTCTTGGAGTTTCAGCTTCACGATCTGTCCTTCCAGTGAGCACTCAGGGCTGCTTTCCTTCAGAATGGAGAGGTTTGATCTTCTTGCAGTCCATGGGACTCTCAAGAGTCTCCTCCAGCACCAGAATTCAAAAGCATCCATTCTCCAGCGATCAGCCTTCTTTATGGTCCAGCTCTCACTTCCATACATCACGAAACCTGATCTACTGGGTTATATTGTCTTATCCGCTTCCCAAAAGGTTATATGGCAGTGGAAGCAGGATCACGGTCCTTAGTGCAGAGTGAACAAGGATGATAGCGACTTCTTTATGTGCTGTCATAGGAAAGCCTGTCATCTGTACATACTACTACACTGAAGGCTTGAACTGGTGTAGAAGCTATTTCCTCTTCATGGGGATCCCTGGGAACTACAGTTGTGTGAAGGGGAGCCTAGGGAAACTCTGAACACCTATATTTCCTAGTTTCCCTTTTTGGGAGAAACCATAGATATGGAGGGAGGAACTATGTACATTTTTAAATTTAATTCCACCTCCCCCTTTTACATTCAAGAGCCCCCCCACAAGGAAGATAGGTTTAATTGTGCATCAGGATATCCCCTAGCTTTTTTTTGAAATGGAAATAATAATGTTGTTGTTGTTGTTTAGTCGTTTAGTCGTGTCCGACTCTTTGTGACCCCCTGGACCAGAGCACGCCAGGCACTCCTGTCTTCTACTGCCTCCCGCAGTTTAGTCAAACTCATGTTGGTATCTTCGAGAACACTGTCCAACCATCTCGTCCTCTGTCGTCCCCTTCTCCTTGTGCCCTTCCAGTGAGCACTCAGGGCTGATTTCCTTAAGAATGGATAGGTTTGTTCTTCTTGCAGTCCATGGGACTCTCAAGAGTCTCCTCCAGCACCATAATTCAAAAGCATCCATTCTTCGGCGATCAGCCTTCTTTGTGGTCCAGCTCTCACTTCCATACATCACTACTGGGAAAACCATAGCTTTTACTATACGGACCTTTATTGGCAAGGTGATGTCTCTATGGAAATAATAATAATAATTTATTATTTCTACCCCACCCATCTGGCTGGGTTTCCCCAGCCACTCTGGGCGGCTTCCAACACAATATTAAAATAAAGTAATGCATCAAACATTAAAAGCTTCCCTAAACAGGAAAGTAGGAACCGTGAATTATCAGACAGTCCATCCCCACTAGGTAAATAGGGGAAACTGGGAGCATCTGTGGAAGTTCTGATCTCCACGATGCTCCAGAAGAAAGCCCCAAAGTGGTGACCTTGTGTTTCAAAACCTGAGAGAGTCTTCAGAGTTGCCTCCATAGCCATTGCCCCATTCTGTGTGTGACCTGGGTGACCTTCGGTCATCTGTCACCGGGCTGTCAGAGCCGGGGCCCCTACGGAGGCCCGGTTGCGACTCGTGGGCAAGGACCCAACTCATCCATCATTTGGAGTGACAGCTAAAAGGCTGGAGCAGGCGGAGGGCAGCATGGGGGAGGGGGGATGGACAGTTGCCAGGTCCCCCGATACCGGGTACAGGGGAACTTTCGTGTCTTGGAACATCTGCTTGGGAATTGGAGAAAAGAAAGGGACGTGGTTTTGTGACGGGCATGGAAAAGGAAGGTGGACCAGGATCTGTTCCCATATTTGTTGGGAACATAAGGCGAGGAGACAGGGGCCAAAGAAAGGAGCCTGAAAAGAAAGATTGTGACATTCAGTTCGTGCAGGGCTGGCAAAATTGAGCAGCGAAGCTTTTTCCCTGGGCCTCTTCTTGAGGGTGCTGGTGGGGTTGCATGCTTGTTTGGATACTCCACACTTGGGGGTGGGAAGAGATGCAGCATGTTGTTGTTGTTGTTTAGTCGTTTAGTCATGTCCGGCTCTTCGTGACCCCCTGGACCAGAGCACGCCAGGCACTCCTGTCTTCCACTGCCTCCCGCAGTTTGGTCAAACTCATGCTGGTAGCTTCAAGAACACTGTCCAACCATCTCATCCTCTGTCGACCCCTTCTCCTTGTGCCCTCCATCTTTCCCAACATCAGGGTCTTTTCCAGGGAGTCTTCTCTTCTCACGAGGTGGCCAAAGTATTGGAGCCTCAGCTTCACAATCTGTCCTTCCAGTGAGCACTCAGGGCTGATTTCCTTCAGAATGGAGAGGTCTGATCTTCTTGCAGTCCATGGGACTCTCAAGAGTCTCCTCCAGCACCAGAATTCAAAAGCATCAATTCTTCAGCGATCAGCCTTCTTTATGGTCCAGCATATCTCCCTGCATGTAGAAAACCAGCTCTTCAAGAAGGACTCAGTCTCACATTCCCCTAGTACACTCCCCCCACTTAAAAAACAACAAAACACTTCTACAGGTAGGGCTGGCCTTAGCACCTGGCACCCCTAGGCAGTTGCTAGGGCCCCTCTGTCCTGGCAGGGCCCACTACTGATGCCTACTGTGGGTCCTCTTTAAAATAAAATTTAAAAAATTCTTTGAGCTGGGTCTATTTCCCACAAAATGCCTCCATTTCAGTATCATGCCAGGGCTCTGTCAGAAGTTAAAATAGACCAGTCTTTTGCAACCCAGCTTCTGTGGGACTCTGCTTTCCCGTCGGCCTCAGACAGCAGGGCCAAGGATGATGGAAGTGGAGGTTCAATGACACCTGAAGGGAACCAGTTTGGGGAGACCTGAGCCAGGCCCAGCAGGGGATGCTCAGGGTGCCCCTGTTGTCCTCGTTGAGGCCCACTGCTGTGCGTAGCCACTTGGTAAAACTCCAGGTCCCCCATGGAATTTTACCTGTGGCCCAGTATTCAAATACTCCAGACCACCCCTTACCCCTGTAGCCTCAAGTGGTGCAGTCCACGAAAAAGCTTTGCCACTAGATTTCTGCTCATCATATACCGTATTTTTCGCTCTATAAGACGCACCAGACCACGAGACGCACCTAGTTTTTGGAGGAGGAAAACAAGAAAAAAAATATTCTGAATCTCTGAAGCGAGAAGAGCAAGAGGGATCGCTGCGCAGTGAAAGCAGTGATCCCTCTTGCTGTTCTGGCTTCTGGGATAGCTGCGCAGCCTGCATTCGCTCCATAAGACGCACACACATTTCCCCGTACTTTTTAGGAGGGAAAAAGTGAGTCTTATAGAGCAAAAAATACAGTAAACTGGGCCACGGTTTAGCAGAGAGAAGGGAATGCATGTGGCCAGGAGTTTCTTCTTCAAAAAAACCCCCCGAGCTTTTGAGTTATTTTTAATGAAGTTCGCCAAAATCGACACTTCTGTCATGGGCTGCCATATGTCCGGATTTCCCCGGATATTTCAGAGATTTCTGCCCAGACGCTGTTTACAAGGGCTGAATACCAGGTATGTCCAGGGGATTCCAGTCATATGTCAACCCTAGCTAAATCTTTGGCCACAAGGCTCTGGTCCACATCAAAGTCTATAAAGCACTCTGGATAGTTCAGTGCTTGAATTATGCTGGGGGCTAAGGTTGTGATGCTAGCATGAGGTTATCGCTATGTACAGGGGCCAAGCTCAAATGTGGTTTAAGAAACCTTCCGCAAAACCCTTCGGATGATATCGGGCCGACTTCGCTAACACCCTCCCCAACTTCTCTTCTCTTCCCCTCAACAGCACCCCTATCCCTCGGAAGAACAGAAGAAGCAGCTAGCTCAGGATACGGGACTGACCATCTTGCAAGTCAATAACTGGTAAGGATCTCAACGCTGGCGCAGAGGGGTATTTAGCTCCTTTAGATCCATTTCTTCACCCAGTCCGGAGGTTCTCTTCATTGACGTGGGTTGCAGCCAACTAGGTTCTGCTCGTGGTAGACATATTTAAGAATTATGAACCTGAGTGAGTAATGATCAGTCATTTCAATTACTTTGAGTAGGACACACCCTGGATGCAGCCCTTTGGGTTTACACCATGGTGACTTTTTAGTTGTGTGTGTGTTTAAATGATGTAGGGTAGGCATGTCCAAAGTCTGTTTCGGGGGCCTAATCTCTGGGTTATCTGAGGATAAGTCTGTGGGTTGGGCTAGTCTGATGTGAGAGAGTGAGGGAATCTGTTAAGAGGAGTCAGTCAAACGGTTGAGATAATCAGTCAGAAGGTATAGGCCAGTAAAGAAAATAAAGTTAAGAAACTGACAAGAATATTATCTGAGAAACCAACAACTTGGTCGGCCCTCACGCATGTTCACTTCATCAAATCTGGCCCTCTTTGACAAAAGTTTGAACACCCCTGATGTAGTGGGTGCACAGGATAAAGGCTTTAAATTATTTAATAATATGTTTGAAAATATGTTGTTAAGCCATTTTAAGGACAGAAGGAGGGCTTCCTGGATCAAGCCAATGGCCCTTCTAGTTCATTATCCTCTTCTTACTGTGGCCGCTCAGATGCTTCAATGGGAAAGACCTGGAAACGATGCCTTATGAGGCACGGCTAAGGGAGCTGGGCATGTTTAGCCTGGAGAAGAGGAGGTTAAGGGGTGATATGATAGCCATGTTCAAATATATAAAAGGATGTCACATAGAGGAGGGAGAAAGGTTGTTTTCTGCTGCTCCAGAGAAGCGGACACGGAGCAATGGATCCAAACTACAAGAAAGAAGATTCCACCTAAACATTAGGAAGAACTTCCTGACAGTAAGAGCTGTTTGACAGTGGAATTTGCTGCCAAGGAGTGTGGTGGAGTCTCCTTCTTTGGAGGTCTTTAAGCAGAGGCTTGACAACCATATGTCAGGAGTGCTCTGATGGTGTTTCCTGCTTGGCAGGGGGTTGGACTCGATGGCCCTTGTGGTCTCTTCCAACTCTATGATTCTATGATTCTATGAATCCATCAAAAAGGACCTAAGTGTCACAGAGCTCTCTCTCCACTTGTGATTCCAGCAACTCAAACTAAGGCTCACCCAACGACAGGAGGGTCAAGTGTTGTTTTTTTAATACGATGATTAATTTAGTACATGGAACTCGGTGCCACAAAAAGGGGAGCCGGCCACTAGACTCAGCAACTCAGTTAGATGTTGAACGATGGGGGTGGAGACGCTCCTTCAGGTATACTGGGCCTTTGAGGCCCTTTAGGGCTTTAAAAGTCAACACCAACACTTTGAATTGTGCTCGGAAACACACTGGGAGCCAATGCAGGTCTTTCAAGATCGGTGTTATGTGGTCTCGGCAGCCACCCCCAGTCACCACTCTAGTTGCTGCATTCTGGATTAGTTGTAGTTTCCAGGTCACCTTCAAAGGTAGCCCCACGTAGAGCGCATTGCAGTAGTCCAAGCGGGAGATAACTAGAGCATGCACTACTCAGGTGAAACAGTCTGCAGGCAGATAGGGTCTCAGCCTACGTACCAGATGGAGCTGGCAGACAGCTGCCCTGGGCACAGAATTGACCTGCGCCTCCATGGACACCTGTGAGTCCAAAATGACTCCCAGGCTGCGCACCTGGTCCTTCAAGGACACAGTTACCCCATTCAGGACACGGAAGTCCTCCACATCAGCCCACCCCCTGCCCCCCAAGAACAGTACTTCTGTCTTGTCAGGATTCAACCTCAATCCATTAGCCGCTATCCATCCTCCAACCACCTCCAGTACTGTGCCAGAAGGACCAAGGGTCTGACTCTGTACCATGCAACTTCCTAAGCTCTTAGTGTGGCTCTGTGACCCAGAGTTGGACTGCCAATAAGCAAGCGGCGTTTTGGAGAGAGGCGGCATAATCCCAGACCAAACTCTGACCCTATTATCAGTCGGTGCCTGACTCCTCCACTGCTTCTTCTGTCTCTTGCAGGTTTATTAACGCCAGGCGGCGCATAGTTCAACCGATGATCGATCAATCAAATCGCACAGGTATGGGGTTCCGTCTGGGAGAGGGCAAGTGGGGTTTTTTGGTTGTTGGGTTGTGTGATCCAGGATGCTGGGGCTGCACTTGCTTAACTCCTCCAATGTGGGGCCCTCCAGATGTTTCGAACGACTGTTCCCACTAGTCCCAGCTAGCAACGCCAAAGGCTAGGGGTGGTGCAGCAACATCTGGGCAGCTGCAGGTTCCCCCTCTGTCACAGGAGCATGCCAGTCAGTAACCACACCGTTCAAAGTTGCAGTTCATTCCCAGTGGTCTTATTCCGTGGAAATCAGTTGCTGAGGCTGAAAGTCCCCGTCTCCCTACTGTTAGGATATACCGTATTTTTTGCTCTATAAGACTCACTTTTTCCCTCCTAAAAAGTAAGGGGAAATGTGTGTGCGTCTTATGGAGCGAATGCAGGCTGCGCAGCTATCCCAGAAGCCAGAACAGCAAGAGGGATCGCTGCTTTCACTGCGCAGCGATCCCTCTTGCTCTTCTCGCTTCTGAGATTCAGAATATTTTTTTTCTTGTTTTCCTCCTCCAAAAACTAGGTGCGTCTTGTGGTCTGCTGCATCTTATAGAGCAAAAAATACGGTAGTTTTGTTCCACCTTAAAAGGGTACAGGCATGACTGCTGTGTGTCACATGCCTGTTTACTTCCAGCAGTCTGCTGAGAACTTCCTTTTGTATATAGCTTTTGTGTTACTGCTGTTTTTGCTGGAGACGAAGGGAAGCAGACATCTGTCCTGAACTATGCTGTACATTATGCTTACACATTTCTCTGTCTGCCTCTTCTGCTGTGAGAAGATTTACACACTCTGCTGATAGAGCGTGCACGGGGCTCTAAACGTATCTGTGGCTCTTGTCGCTGATTGATGCTGTTCCAAGGGAGACCGGCTGCCAGCCAGTGGCTGGAGCCAGCTGGGGGCCTGCCTGATGCCCCCGTCTCCCCGGCAGTATCCCAACACCCACAGCCGTCTAAGTCACCTCCTCTCCAGGGCTTTTCCCAAGCAATCTGAGACGCTGCCTGCTTGCAGCCAACCTCTCTTCCGCCCCTTTCATGCCTCTTCTGATTCCAGGAGTTGGGGGGGGGAGAGCTTGTTACAACAGGAGGGGGAGACCCCAGTGACTCTACCAACCAGACTCATCTCTGCCTCTCTGCCTCCCGCCTCCCACTCGCTTGATTCAACTTCTGTATCTGATTATGGACTGCTCTCTGCCACAGACTCTCCCTGCTCATTAAGCCCTGTTGCCTCTTCAGCTTCTGACACCTCCTCTTCCTAGTCTTCTCCCTCCAACCACTCATCAATGTCCCACCACCAATCCCCTGGCTCTGAGCCTTCTTCCCATGGGGGTTCCCCAGCTGGTTCCTCCCACCGCTTCAAACCAGGCCCATGACACCCTCTCTGCTCTAACTGGGACTAAGATGTAAGCCTTTATCAACCTGATCTTCTACCCAATGGGTATGATATTACTCACTGCGAGAAGCCAAGTTACAGGGAACCAGGCAGAGGGCCTTCTCGGTGGTGGCGCCTGCCCTGTGGAACGCCCTCCCACCAGATGTCAAAAAGAACAACTACCAGACTTTTAGAAGACATCTGAAGGCAGCCCAGTATAGGGAAGCTTTTAATGTTTGATGCATTACTGTATTTTAATATTTTGTTGGAAGCCGCCCAGATTGGCTGGAGAAGCCCAGCCAGATGGGTGGGGTATAAATAATAAATTATTATTATTATTATTATTATTATTATTATTATTATTACAGCAATGAATCAGCAGTTGACAGGATTATCAGATACTTAGAAACCCTAAACTAAAAGCCCTCTTATATTACCTAAAAGATGAAATAGGGAGGACTTTGCAGTTGGTATGGAATTTATTGATGGCATTTAGAATGTGCAGTCCCTTGCGTCAGCAGGTACAGAATCTATGAGGGCTTTTAAGAAAGTTTCCAACGGATTTTCACACAAATCCTCGATGGGTCATGAAAGCAAGTGAGTTTTTGAGATGATGTTCCTTTCGTCCAATCAGGTCAAGGGGCACCATACAGCCCTGATGGGCAGCCAATGGGAGGCTACGTCATGGATGGGCAGCAGCATATGACGATTCGCCCCCCAGGTAAGTGGCGACTGAACTCAAGACAGCAAGGGAAGTAGAGAGGGCACAGTGGGATTATGAGATCAGAGGGATTGGCAGATCTGTCGATTTTGGTTTCTCATCTTCCCATCTATGTGCTCAGTTTCTCAGCACTAAAAGGCTGGCAAGTTTCCAAGAGGACTTTAAAAATCCCACAAACGGATGTGGAAAAGGGTAGAGCTTAACCGAAGGCTGGAGAAACTGAAATTGACAGATCTGCCCATCACTTACCTCTGCCACCAGACTTAGCCGAGGGGCCTCTCAGTACCAAAGCAGACTCTGATGCCAACACCGGTTCGGTTCAGATTTTTAAAGTGGGCCTATGTCAGCCTATAGGGACGCGGGTGGCACTAGGACTTGCCGATCAGAAGGTCGGCGATTTGAATCCCCGCGACAGGGTGAGCTCCCGTTGCTCGGTCCCAGCTTCTGCCAACCTAGCAGTTCGAAAGCACGTCAAAGTGCAAGTAGATAAATAGTTACCACTCCGGTGGGAAGGTAAACGGCGTTTCCGTGTGCTGCTCTGGTTCGCCAGAAGCGGCTTAGTCATGCTGGCCATATGACCTGGAAGCTGTACGCCGGCTCCCTTGGCCAATAAAACGAGATGAGCGCCGCAATCCCAGAGTCGGTCACGACTGGACCTAATGGTCAGGGGTCCCTTTACCTTTACCTTTATGTCAGCCACAAGGGACGCAGGTGGCACTGTGGGTTAAACCACAGAGCCTAGGACTTGCCGATCAGAAGGTCGGCGGTTCGAATTCCCGTGACGGGGTGAGCTCCTGTTGCTCGGTCCCTGCTCCTGCCAACCTAGTAGTTCAAAAGCACGTCAAAGTGCAAGTAGATAAATAGTTACCGCTCCGGCGGGAAGGTAAACGGCGTTTCCGTGCGCTGCTCTGGTTTGCCAGAAGCGGCTTAGTCCTGCTGGCCACATGACCCGGAAGCTGTACGCCGGCTCCCTCGGCCAGTAAAGCGAGATGAGCGCCGCAACCCCAGAGTCGGCCACGACTGGACCTAATGGTCAGGGGTCCCTTTACCCTTTACCTTTTTATGTCAGCCACACTTTCTGAAACAATATGGGAAACCAAATTGCAGGCATTCTTCGAAATTCGCACTTCTCTGAATATTGTGACACACTTCTCCAACCAGAGAATGTGTGCATTCAGGGAAAGTGTGCAGAAAAATTTGTTGCATCGGATAAAGACGACATGTGAAGTGTATTATATTGCTTGCAAAAGTGTGCATTCCAGGCAAAATTGCCGGCAAACATGTGCACGTTTGGAGACATTTGCACTAAATGCTGACAAATTTTTGTGAGGACTTTAGAAATAATAATAGTTTGCAAACCGTTAACAGAAATTTGGAGAACTGAGCTTAAGGCTGGAAAATGAGAATCTGAGGGAAACCAAAAGGGACAGATTATTCACCCCGAGCCCTGATAAATGGGTTGTCTCCAGTGCAAGTTCTACTCAAGGTAGAGTCCTTGAAAGTCATGCATTTTAAGTAATGCATTCACACAGTAGTTTATTCTGTTTCCCCCGATGTTTCCCTAACTGTGAATTTCTGCATTATATTTGAGTGTTGACGTGACATAAAAGACACTTCCGGAAAAATAGCGGAATGTAGCCCAAGTTTCGCACTCGTTTCTGTTTGCAAATAACAAGAAAAAGAGGAGCTAAATTTGCAACGTCTGGCAGCAGCTTTGACGTTGTGTGAAAAGCTTGAATAGAACTTGGCAATCAACAGTTAGGGAAACGTCCTAAACCGCTATGTGAATGCAGCCTAATTTAAGTCTGTTATTTCAGTGGGTCTACTTACCGTATTTTTCGCCCTGTAAGATGCACCAGACCATAAGACGCACCTAGTTTTCAGAGGAGGAAAACAAGAAAAAATTTTTTCTGAATCTCAGAAGCCAGAACAACAAGAGGGATCGCTGCGCAGTGAAAGCAGCAATCCCTCTTGCTGTTCTGGCTTCTGGGATAGCCACGCAGCCTGCATTCACTCCATAAGACGCACACACATTTCCCCTTACTTTTTAGGAGGGAAAAAGTGAGTCTTATGGAGCAAAAAATACGGTAGTTGGCTACAACCCTGTGTGAAATAGAAGTGGGGTGCTGGGAGACTTACAAGCTCTGGTTTTGTCCTCCGTTTCCAGGACCAATGGGGATGGCAATGGGCATGGAGGGGCAATGGCACTACATGTAAAGCCCTGAACCCGCTGACAACACGAGATGGGGAAGTGAGTATCTCATGGGAGTCTGCGGTCGCTGGTGGGTTCATCTGGCCTCGTGCTCCAGGAAACAGAAGTAGCATGGCGTGCGCTCGTTGAAGCCAAGTGTGGCATCCGTGCTCAGCACCCTTGGGCAGCTGACAGGACCCACTCACACGGGCGCCGGCTCTGGGTCCCCCCCGTTGAGTGGCTGAAATATACTCGGAGTCGAGAGTGGATTTCATGCTCTTTATTCAGCTCCTAGTGGTGAGGAGGAATGGAAGTTCCCCCAGAATGTCTGCTTTATATACATTATTTACACAATGGGCCCCATGTGATTGGCTAATTCCGGGATTCACCTGTAGGCCAATCAGGTTGCGGATTCACTTCCACCTGGAGCTGGATTGGGTGGCTCCTGTGGACCAATCAGACTGCTGCATTCTGAAGCCTATTGTTCTAGGACCAATCAGCTGCTGCCTTTTGGATCCTATTCAACTCAGTACATAACAGTGGCCCAAGACATTTTGGCCTCTGAGGCAAACCACAAAAAGGCGCCTAGTCCCCACCATGTTAGAAGGGTGTGAGTGAAGATCTATAACAGGAACAGGGGGTGGGAATAAAGATCTACATCGGGATCTGCTGTCCCCGTGGATCCTGCCACCCCAGGCGGTTACCTCACCTTGCCTCATGGGTGGGCCGGCCCTGCTTCAAACCACTCCTGGGAATTTCCCGGGATGCCCTGGGTCTTCACAGAGGCTTTGTGATTGGGGCATTTTGGGAGACGCCCCTGAAGCATCTGGCTGGTCCATTTGTGGGGGGGGGACAAGGACTTCAGCCAATAGTACTGAGCTGATATTTTGCAGGAGACATTGCACACACACACCCCAAGATCCTTTTTCTCTCTCCTCTCTGCTAAATTTCTCTAAACAGGATCCACCATTTTAAATTATTCTTTTGTTGTTGTTGTTGTTGTGGCAGCACATAAGCGGCACACAAAACACTAAAAAACCATTCTGCGTTCTAAATCTTATATAAATAATCCAAAAATTGAGAGAGCTATGTACAATATCTACTACAGAAGCCACAAGCAGAAAACTCATTCAAATTGTGTCCAAAAGGAAGATTCAGTCTTTAAAGGTTCCTTTAGCCAGGCTCCTGTAGATACCAACAAACGTAAGTTGGATCAAACAGTGATGAACGTAGAATGGTTTTTTTAGTGTTTTGTGTGCCGCTTATGTGCTGCTTACTTTATACTGGTCTGCTATGAAAATTAGGGACGCGGGTGGCGCTGTGGGTTAAACCACAGAGCCTAGGACTTGCTGATCAGAAGGTCGGCGGTTCGAATCCCCGTGACGGGGTGAGCTCCCGTTGCTCAGCCCCTGCTCCTGCCAACCTAGCAGTTTGAAAGCACGTCAAAGTGCAAGTAGATAAATAGGTACCGCTCCAGCGGGAAGGTAAATGGTGTTTCTGTGCGCTGCACTGGTTCGCCAGAAGCGGCTTAGTCATGCTGGCCACATGACCCGGAAGCTGTACGCCGGCTCCCTCGGCCAGTAAAGCGAGATGAGCGCCACAACCCCAGAGTCGTCCGCGACTGGACCTAATGGTCAGGGGTCCCTTTACCTTTACTACGAAAATTGGCAGCATAGGTTCATTTCTTCAGCAGTTGTTGTGGCGGCTGCAATTCCCGCTCCCTGCAATACCCTGGAATGGTGCAAAGGGGCATTCGGCGGGGGGTGTTTGCAAAGTGCAGGCCAGGGTGCCCACACAGCTGCTGTGAAACAAAAAGGAGCAAACAAACGAAAGCTAAACATTTTAGGAGAAAGAAACAAAGCTGGGCTGCTGAGCTCCCCACCAAGCCACCCAGGAAACTGTTGGAGAAGTTCTCTTTTCCCTGGAGAAATCCTGTGAAATTGTTGCCCCAGTTTTTCTGCCTGCAAGCAGCATAAAAGATTCTGGGAGTTCCTTGTGAGCGTAGAACTGGTTCTCTGGGCAGATTCTGGGTCACTCATTCAACATGGGATAGCGGCCAGAGTGTCAGACTAGGACGAGGGACACCACGGTTCAGAGCCATATTTCAAAAAGTGTAAATCGGGACACAAAAGTTGTTTTTTTTGGGGGGGGGCTAAGTTGTTGAGCTCCGCCCCCCAAATCTCAACAACAACAACAAAGGTTTGGGAACTATTTTAAAGGAAATTCGGCATAAAATCTACACTTCAGACATTGATTGCCATACACCCAGGTTTTCCCAATTTCCCAATTTCCAGAAATTCTGCAGAGACGCTATTTCTGATATGTTCAGGAAATCCTGGACATATGGCAGCTCTACTTTAGATGCCCTAAGCACTGGGAAAACTATGGTGCCTATCAGGGAACTGACATCGGAGCTAGAAGCGGAGGGAAGGCTCTCAAATGATGCTGGAGAAGGGAGAGAGGCAGCTCCGCAGATGGGGAAGCAAATCAGCGCAACACCAGGGATAAAGAGGGGCTGATGGGGGAATCGGCGAGAGGGCTCCAGGACTCTTCACCGGACACCAGCGGGGAGAACACGGGTCCCCCGCTACCCACGCCCACCCTGCGCAGAAGACTTCCGCGCAGAGAGAGTAGGAGGAGACTGGGTGTCAAACAACTTTTATGTTGGAAAAGATTTAAGAAACGCCCACTGACGGATTCTGCTGAGGCAGCCACGAAGTGAAGGGCTGCCCAGACTGAAAGGTTTAGCAAGGCAACAAAGCCTGGAAAGGCGGCAACTTACGCACGAGCAACCCATACACATTACAGTGCCCTTCCCCACTAAGTAATTCAAAATAAAAACCATACTAAACCATTTTTTAATAGTCAGAAAACAAATTGATTGCAACACATGAAAGGATCCGATTTCTTTCCATTGTTTTGATCTACCTTAGTAAGACGACCCCCGGGTTAGGTGGGAATTAAGGGATGAGAAGAGTGTCTGCTTTGCTGCGGCCCTAAACACAGGTTTAGTGCCCCAGTTGGGTAATCCAGGGTTCAAAAGGGGTGCGGCTGGCACTGTGGTCTAAACCACTGAGCCTCTTAGGCTTGCCGATCATAAGGTTGGCAGTTTGAATCCCCGTGATGGGGTGAGCTCCTGCTGCTCGGTCCCAGCTCCTGCCAACCTAGCAGTTCGAAAGCACACCAGTGCAAGTAGATAAATAGGTACCATTGCAGCGGGAAGGTAAACAGTGTTTCTGTGCGCTCTGGTTTCTGTCACAGCGTTTCGTTCCGCCCGAAGTGGTTTAGTCATGCTGGCCACATGAGCCGGAAAGCTGTCTGCGGACAAATGCCGGCTCCATCAGCCTGAAAGCAAGATAAGCGCCGCACCCCATAGCCTCCTTTGACTGGTCTCAACCACCCAGGGGTCCTTTACCTTTATAAAGGTAAAGGTAAAGGAACCCCTGACCATTAGGTCCAGTCGTGGCCGACTCTGGGGTTGCGGTGCTCATCTCGCTTTACTGGCTGAGGGAGCCGGCATACAGCTTCTGAGTCATGTGGTCAGCATGACTAAGCCGCTTCTGGCAAACCAGAGCAGCGCACGGAAACGCCGTTTACCTTCCCGCCAGAGTGGTACCTATTTATCTACTTGCACTAGCGTGCTTTCGAACTGCTAGGTGGGCAGGAGCTGGGACCGAGCAACAGGAGCTCACCCCGTTGTGGGGATTCAAACCACCGACCTTCTGATCAGCAAGTCCTAGACTCTGTGGCTTAACTCACAGCGCCACCCACGTCCCTTTAGCTTTATACCAGGGTTCAAATCCCCATTTGACCCTATCTCCTAGCCTCCCCTACCACACACGGGTTGTTGTGTGGGTAAGAGGCAGAGGGGAAGAGCTGTGTACGTAACCTGGAGCTCGCCAGATAGAAATATGTCAACAAATTGAAAAAGAAGATTTGAAGTGCAGGCGGAGTGAGGAAAGCATGGCTGGCGTTCACTGTCTGCTCCTTCTTTGTTTTTTTTCAGGTTTCCAGACTAGGCTGTGTGCCGGGCAAGACGAACCCTAGCAGGTTTTACGGGCACCAGACTCCCGGCACATCAGGGCCTCCTGCGCCCACAACTTCCCCAGCGCTCCGTGAGAATGTGCCACAGACCATTCTCCCTCTCCCCCTCCAGCCACGACGCACGGCCACTGTCCGCACTGCAACCCCCGACCAGAAGAAGCGAAACACCCCCAGCACACCCAAACCCCCCACTCGGGACGGGCCGAGCACGGACAGCGCCCCTTCCCTGCCCTCCTTCTTCCTGCCCTTCCGCCAGTTCCTTCTCTCCCTCACTCCTTTTTGCCAAATAAAGAAGGACCGTTCCCGACAACCTGTAGCCAAAACGACAAGGCTCCGAAATATCCTGCGGGCGTCGCATCTGCCGGGGTTTAGGAGCCAGACGAAGCTGGACTTTGATGGAAACAGATCCCCCTTCCCAGCGTTTAAAAAAGGAAAAAGAAAGAACAAGGGAGAGGTGGAGAGCGCAATCTGTCTTTCAACAAAGATGTGGAGAGGGGGGAAGGCCGATGTATTAACTTTTTCATTGCTTGGGGTCTGATCCATCGTTTTTCTCGCCAGGCGCATACCTCACGCCCGCCTGCCCCCCGCCACCACTCCAGACACGGCGGCCTCTTCACGGACTTCTTTTCCAAAGGAGAGAATTTCCAAGCAGGGTTGTGTTTTGTTTCATTTTCCAAAAACCTTTCCTTTTCTTTCTTTCTTTCTTTCTTTCCCCCTCCCCCCCTCCTTCCTTCTGGATGTTTTAATTATTAATTAATTATTGATGTCGATGCTCAGAACGGGGAAGTAAATTAAATTGTACATTTTATTTTCCTTTTTATCTTTTTTTTCCAGGGTTCTTTTTTAAACGTGCTTTTTTTTTTGTTTCGTTTTGTTTTTTAAACTGAGAAATAATTCAAGAAAAAGAGAAAAGAAAAAAAAACCAAAACGAACTACACCTGCGGCCTTGGTCTCGTTTGTTCTCGCTGGGTTGGTTTGTTGCTGTTCTGAGTTATCGAGACAAAATGACGTTCACCTCTTCCTTTCTTTATAAGAAATGGCTGGTGGGATGGGGGGTGGGAGGAGGAATAATCCTTAAATCTGCCTTTTCCGGCCGGGCTGAATTTAAGGATCCTGAATGTGCTAATGTCTAAGGGTGTGTCTACACTAAAACACTTTTAATCCAGATTAACTGTTTGGACTCATCTGAATCTCAGGGCATTGGGCAAAAGAGTCCTTCATTGCAGGCAATTGGACTAGGTGATGACCCCCCCCCCCCCCCGCTCTTGTCCCTTCCAACTCTACAATTCTGTGATTTTATCTTCCTAGGAAAATGGAAAATTAGAGTTCTCTGAAAGGTCTGGATGAGTCTTGTGTCATCTCCAACCTTGTTGTTGTTGTTGTTTAGTCGTTTAGTTGTGTCCGACTCTTTGTGACCCCATGGACCAGAGCATGCCAGGCACTCCTGTCTTCCACTGCCTCCCGCAGTTTGGTCAAACTCATGCTGGTAGCTTCAAGAACACTGTCCCACCAGCTCATCCTCTGTCGTCCCCTTCTCCTTGTGCCCTCCATCTTTCCCAACATCAGGGTCTTTTCCAGGGAGTCTTCTCTTCTCCTGAGGTGGCCAAAGTCTTGGAGCCTCAGCTTCACGATCTGTCCTTCCAGTGAGCACTCAGGGCTGATTTCCTTCAGAATGGAGAGGTTTGATCTTCTTGCAGTCCATGGGACTCTCAAGAGTCTCCTCCAGCACCAGAATTCAAAAGCATCAATTCTTCGACGATCAGCCTTCTCTATGGTCCAGCTCTCACTTCCATACATCACTACTGGGAAAACCATGGCTTTAACTATACGGACCTTTACAGATGCCAATTTTATACAAATTTAACTGTCATGGCTTCCTCCAAAGGATCTTGGGAGTTGTAGTTTGACATGGTGGAAATAAGACCAGAAACTGCTGTCTGTGTTCAGACCAAAACAAATAGAATCGAGATGTGCTGTGTTCCATTAGTTTGTTCCAGCCCAGCCATTTCATATCTCAACCTGATCTTTTGATTCTTATGCTGGACGACTGCTGGCACATCTGGAATTTTAAGGGGGTGTTATAGGCACCACCAACGAGTTGCTTTTCTCCCCACCTTCTACTGGTCAGTCTCTTCCCCGTTCGCTCCCAATCACAGACAGAAAAAGCACGCATTGTCTTTCGTTCCACAGGGTTGGGCGGAAAGTCAGATCCACCCAAAACTGAAATGGATCCTCATGGATTTGCATGATTTTATAGGCTCGCCCACGACCACCATCCCGTTTATGATTACAGTGGTAAAAAGCACAGCAAAAATAATAGATCCAGTGGTTGCCCCGTTATGGAAAAATCTAGGAGCAAGGCTGCTCAGTCCCCCAGCTGGTCAGGCAGAGCCCGCGGGTCCCTGCGGAATAAAGGAAGGAGTCCAGCTAACTGGAGCAAATAGATGTAGACCAAAGTTTATTGCGCAATAGGTTCAAAGAGCAAATTTGAACCTCGAGGATGAGGTGACAAAGACTTTTAAAACTTTCCCACCATATCCCAGAATATAGTTCGTACAGCATCATTTCTACATCACTGACATGTCACAAAAGGGGAGGGGTTAACCTTGGCAAACATGTCCAGAGAAGTTCTTGGTACAAGATTAGCATAAGCAGACATGGCAGGGCAAGACTCAGGTATAAGATTAGCATAGACAAATATGTCTTAAGTACCCACCACCCAAAAGTACAATAGAAGTTCCTTTGCATGTCTGGAGCCTGAGGCGAGTCAGGTGATGAGATTTGGCTTCCTTTGGCTAACAATGAGCCCAGCAATTGTCACCTCTGAGAACTTCCTGGAGTCCTTTTTCAAGGGGAAAATAGCTTTGGAATGGGGGGAACTGGGAAAGGAGATGATTTTATATTATTTTTAAAGCTAGGTGACTTCCCTGAGCTGTCAAGTTGAAAGGATACATTCAGGCATAATATTTGTAATATTTAACTTTAAAGATGTGCCCCCCCCCATAATTTCCGTAACACCCCACTACAAAAATTCAAGGCACACAGCCTCATGAATAGCCATAATTTTTTGTACGTACGATGACAACAAAAACAAGAAACCACAAAACATGTCACCGAACTTTTTTCCTCCAGTTGTTTTGAACTATAACTCCCATCAGCCTCAGCTGCAGATGGGAAATATTCAAAACATCTAGAGGGCACCTGGTTAAAAAAAGCTGGTTTACTGGACAGACAATCTGCTTTATTTAACGCGTCTGTTTTACCTGTTGTTTTCGTCCCGAGTTTTTATTAGTCTATATTTTTTCCCCTGGAATGGATTATATTTGATAGTTAGTTTTATAGCCACCTTGTTCATCCTTGTATGAAATAAGCGAAGACCCCGCCACACAGAAATCAATGAATGTGGCCTTCATTCACAATTGGCCACTTTGAAAGACATCCCCGCACCCGGAATGCTAGCTTGTCAGGGAGAAGGGTTCTATAGCCTAGGCTGGTCCTCAACATCCTAGCTACCTAGGTGCAAGGATTTGGGGGAAAGGTTTGCATTCAGTTGTGTGATACCTCATCCCCTTCCCATTCCAAAAAAGCACAGCCCAGAACTATGTTTACCAAATAAGTCTATAGTGAGGCTGGGTATTCTCAGGCCCAGGAATGCATCCTTCTATGAACTCTCTGCTGGCCACACCCCTTCTTCACAGGCCACACCCCCCAATTGCCCCACTTTGCACCCCAAACACAGCTGAAATTTGTCCTTGAATTCTGACCATCTCTCCCGCTTGTCTGGAGAGACAACAAAGAGGTAGTGTGTGTGTGTGTGTGTGTGTGTGTGTGTGTGTGTGTTTATTAATGTTTTATTTGCAAATTTAACAAAGGAAAGGAAGGGGGAATTTAAGAGACACTAAAATAAAGGAAAAGGAATAATATATGAATATTACTAACAAAAAAACACACACTATCAGTTCATGTTATGGATACAGCCATCATCAGAATATGCACCTTAAAATTAATGTAAGCCCTCCAGGTGTTCAAAATGTCCACGTAAAATTGATGTCCATATAAAATATTTTTTGAATCTTGTCAGGGCAGAGAGGTCCTCAGACCGTTGCATAGTAGACAGTGGGCATTTATCCTTTCAGGCTCGAAGTCTCTTAGCAACCATACGTGCTTGCAAAATCCACTTTTGCTGCCCTGCCGTTAATCGCCGTGCCGCAGGAAGATGATATGAAAGTACACAAACACCTGGAAATATCAGGAATATTGCCAATACAAAACTGATGTGGATAACAACTTCGGACCGAAAAGCCCACCTTGTACACCTCAACGAGGCATTTTCTGTGTTACACCTCCAATATTTGTCTGAGCTGGACAGTGCCTTCCTATACAGGGTCAATTACGCTCAAAATATTGATTCTTGCCGGATCAATCTCAATTTCATGTCGAAGGAAACCTTATCTCTCATTCATGTGCCTAAAGAAACTAGCCTAGTGCACAAAGGTAAAACTGATATTAATTGCTCCTCCCACTTGGCTCTTCGCTGTATCCATCACTGATGTGGCCCCGGAAGACTGCTCAGGTGGGAATGTGCCCCCCCCTCGGTTGCAAAAGGTCTAGAGAACTGTGATCCACGTGACGGTCACCTCCAGACTGGATTATTGTAAGTCGCTCTACGTGGGGCTGCCCTTGAGACTGACCCAGAAACTCCAGCGGGTGCAGAATACCGCAGCGAGGCTCCTCACGGGGTCCTCGCCGCAGGATCACATTCACCCGGTGCTAAACCAGCTGCACTGGCTCCCGGTGGAGTACAGGATCAGGTTCAAGGTGCTGGTTTTAACCTTTAAAGCCCTATACGGCCTAGGACCCTCGTACCTACGGGACCACCTCTCCCGGTATGTCCCACAGAGGAACTTATTATCTTCAAACAAAAACATCCTGAAGGTCCCAGGCCACAGGGAGGTTAGGCTGGCCTCAACCAGAGCCAGGGCTTTTTCAGCTGTGGCTCCGATCTGGTGGAACGCTCTGCCACAAGAGACTAGGGCCCTGCGGGACTTGACATCTTTCCGCAGGGCCTGCAAGACAGAGCTGTTCCACCAAGCCTTTGGCCAGGGCACAGCCTGACACCCTCCTTTGGCAATCTTCACAGAACTCTACCCAATGGCTGCCATCAATTTGATTTGAAGTAATTTTTTAATGAAGTGATTTTAAAATGTTGTCTTATTTTATTGTTGTTAGTCACCCTGAGCCCGGCTTCGGCTGTGGAAGACGGGATATAAATAAAAATTTATTATTTATTTATTATTATTAGAGAAAACCTACTTGGCGGCGGCAGCAGCCCAAACGCTGACAGTGCCAAATTTGAAAGGTGCGAGTCCCGTTTCCGCACAGTGACGCAACTCTGCACCACCTCACCTGATGCCAGTGCGCCAAGGAGAATCGATGCGGCCGAGGTGATGGGGAGGCAGCTGGCGGCAATATCTCACTGTGCGACAACCTCTTGATTAGGGAAAGGGGATAATGGGCCTCGCCGGGCCTGCGGTGGACAACCTGATGGATGGCCCGGTGGTCTGGAGGGGGATTAAAGCAAGCTGGAAGACGGAGAGCAGATCTAAGATCCATCAGCGTTGGCCGACTCGGCCTGCACACTCCACCTTTGTCCTGGGATATTAATGCCTCGGTTTCCCCGCTTTTTCTAGGTGGAAAGGCCAAACCTAAAATACCCAGTGCTTTTGTTTAGAGAAAGGTTTACAAAATGGCGCAATGTGCGGGGAGAGATTATTATCTCCCCTCACACCCAGCTCGCCTGCTTCTCTCGGGATAAGGTAAAGGTACCCCTGCCTGTACGGGCCAGTCGTGTCCGACTCTAGGGTTGTGCACCCATCTCACTTAAGAGGCCGGGGGCCAGCG